GGGGATGACCAAGTGGAATAGGTTGCAGACACGGTAAAAAAAATTAAAGTAAAAGCTGACAACTTGGTTCTGACCCCTGGCCGGTTGTGTGGGATTGCTGGTACCCAACTGTTCCGGCTCTGGTTCTACCGGTCTGTGGAGTTCAGTTCTCTTTACGGGTCAATAGAGGAGTGAGCAAACCTCGCAGTTTGGTGGATTAGGCTTGGGGAAAGGAGCGAGAAGATAGGGAAAGGGGGGGGGGGGTGAAGGAAGGAGGAGGAGGAGGAATAGACTTGTCGTAGGGGGGGATTGATGGATGGGTTGACTGATGTGCAATATGGGAGGGAGGAAAGGGGAATTTTACTCGTGGTATTGATTGCTCTACATAATAGACCTATGGAATGGGCGTTCTGAGAGATCCTCAATCATGGTTTCTTTCTCGTTTTTTGTTTTCGGCTCTCCATTAAATTTTGTCATTTTTTGGTGGGGGGGAATCTTGAGGACCGTGCTAGTGATGTCATTGGCCTGATGTCCTGTCACGGTTCCGTCATCACACTCATAACTGTGCCCTGCCACGGGCCAAAAGAGTTGAAAAGACTTGATGAGATGCTATGTTCGATAGCCGGGCGGCACCATTAGACTAGCCACCCCTCTACCACACGGTAGAGTGTATTATTATCATTGGATCTAGGTATTTTAGGTGTAGCATGTGGTTGTGATGTTAAACAACACAGCGGAGGTGGATAAGATCACTTGTTTATCAGAAGATCAGATCGCGCACTTTGATGAGATCAGATATCACTCCTTGGCGCGACTGCTCAGTACATATATGAAGACTACTCACTCGTCTTTGCCAAGAATACCTCCGCGAGGCGAATATTTGGGAGGACTCCTGCAAATTATCGGCTGGCGAAGGTATTCTTGGCAAAGACGAGTGAGTATCGTAGATTTAGGAGCTAGCTCCGTTCTACTCGAGTATGATACCGTACCGGTACATTGCACCATTACTCGAGTATACTCGCACACGATTTAGGATGGCAGGGTACTTGTAGCTGGTCTACTCAAGTATTGGAACGGTATGAGGGAGGGATCGGGGTTGTAGTGCTGAAGCAAGTGATCATTATTATTGGACGGTATCCTTCATCGTTACAAGTGGTAAGTTAAAACTCACGGCAGTTCTTTTCGCTTCCAATAGAGTTTTGGCTCGACACATGACACTCTCAGCACTTCCGATACCCTATGGTAACTCTGCTCGACAGGGAGCACTGCGTGCAGGGTGTGATGGCATGCCCTGTCTCCGGGGAATATTCTCCACTGCGCCCCCGGTTATTCTCCGCCCTTTGTTAATGTGTGTATCATGTCATACTACCGGCAGTCTACAGTACTCGAGAAGCGTTAAATTTAATATTACGAGTTCTCCTCCTGTCCTGTCAAGTTAGTGGTCTAAGGCTACTCTAAATGAATGGAATGCTTTCTACTCTTTCAAGGAGGATTTCTGAGCCCGAATTCAGTTCAACTGCTGCGCTTCTTAGTCAACGACTTCTGGATTAGGCTAAATCTTATTTTCGCTCTTCATCCTCATCGCTCCACTGTAGTCTGCATGCATAAATTTACTCTGCACATGTCAACCGCCCATTATGCGAGTCTTGGGTTCAGTAAAAGGCCCATTTTCACCCCATGTAAAGATGATGCCAACCCTGAGAAGACAATGGCCGTTTGGTACCTGTAATGGGGTGAGCTGTTCGATGTTTGCGGTGAATCGGAGAAGCAAGACCCCGTAAAGACACTGTCCAGCGCTGCGCCGGTGCGCTGTAGTGTTCAGGAAGTCGAGGGGAGGTTAACCAGGCACAGTAGACTACTGTACCTGCCGTACAGTATCTGCTTGCACATCTGTGACTGGGTGGACTGCTGATGTGGAAGCAAATTATATGGCCGGCTCCCTTGCTGTGTTTCTCCCACCTGTAGGACAACATGCACAATCGGACAAAGATATAGTCTATCGTAGTAGTGTTCAGGTACGCGAAACCACTGCTCGCTGTCACAATTCATACCCTTTCGTTGGGGTCGGATTAAGTCCTCTTCCTCCCACCCCCTGCTATCATAACAAGGGACGGTGGATCCAATGGTGAAGAACACCCAGCATATCGAGAGGGGAAAAAATGCCACGGTACCTGTGCCGTACTGTGCTGTAGACTAAATTATACCACAGAAACAGACAAACCCTGGATATCCCGCCCGCCGCTTCTTTGAGCCAGCCCGCGTGGGTCAAGTGAGGATCTATTCACATTTATTATCCGATGTTTCCAAGGACTTCCCAAGGAAAGGAAAGTTAGTAACACTGCGTAGCATTTTATACCGGAAGACTCCCGGGTATATTCAATGCTCATTCCATTCCTTCGTCCCCGGTATTTCACTGTAGTCTTCCACTCACAAATCCCACAAATTTTCTCATTCCGGATGACCTGCCCGGTAATTCAACATTCTGTTCTCCTTTAAATTTAATCAAGCTTGGGATGAGGTCGATCCAACTTAGTACAGCATCCTATCTGATTGGTCAATGGGCTTTTTTGCCTTAGCCTCATGCCTGCAGGAATTAATTCTTTGCAGACGGGAAGAATGATCTCCCCATGTATGACGATTTCCGACGTTACTCTTTTTTCTTTTTTCTTTTTTCCCCTTTCTGTTTTTACCTTTTTTTTTTGCATGAGCGTTGAGCGTGAGTGAACTTCAAACAGCCTTCAGCCCATGCTTTTGCCCTTTCAGTACAATTTCCTTTTTCCATCGAAGAGAGTCGATATCTCATCGAGATATTGGTACCTAGTACAATACTCGTACGGTATCATCTTTTAAGTTTGGTTGATGGTGGTAGATGGTGGTACAGTACTCTAAGTACTGTACTCAAGTACGGGTAGCACCGCTTTTTGGCGGGCTCTCTTCGATCCGTGATCGCAGAAGCCCATGATAGTCCTACCAGCATTCCATTAGCTCCCACTTTCGCTAGGCCCGCGACATGTGCTCGTTTGTTGGTTCCCTACCGTACCCTGAACTCAGCATCGCATTCAACGGTAGGCCATACTCGAGTAGATTACAGTAGCCCAGTCCAACGGCTTCTCCACGGTGAAATGACAGACACCACAATTGGAGCTACCCTACAGCTTTTCTCGAGGTTCTCCAGCATTGTGGCTTCCCCCGAGGCTTCCCCTATCCGCCCCTGGCCTGTTGGCGATATTTGAGAAATATACTCGAGTACAGGTGCAAGAACTCATTTGATATCAGTTGCCCCGTTTCACTTTTTAAGCCTCAACACCTGACAAATACTCGAGTGCATACTGGTACTTGTATATGGTACGTAGGTAAGATGTCCAACGGCAAGGGTAGCATGAAAGGGAAATATTCCTTAATTCCCTTCACACTCACTTCAACTTGCTACCGGTATCACAATCTTGCACCGTTCCTGCCTGCGCGGGAGTTTGTTCGCCGCTTTCGATATCTGTATGCTAGGGAAACAGATCCCGGCCAATGGCACTGGCTGGGTGGCGATTGAGCGAGTATCATACTCGAGAACTCCCAATTGAGGAGGGGTGGATGAGAAAGCCAAAAGGAGCGGAGTTTTTAGTCTGTAGTCTATGTCTCAATAAAAAAGATTGGCACCAACTACACCCTGATGTTACGTCAAGCCCACCTACCCCTCCTCCCCTGCGCGGAAAGCTCTAGATACCGGTATTCTTACTACCCCAGTTTCTAGGAAGTCCAGTTAGTGGAGAAATAAATATAAAGTGTTTTTTAACCCCATCTCCCTTCTAACTCCCAACGTGTAGAATATCGCTCCTTTGATCTTGAACTTCCCTCGAGCCTCGATTGTTGTCCCTGATCGTTCCCCCTCCATCAAATAACCCCAGCTTACTCTTTCTCCTCCGGTTCCACTCTAGTATTGTCAGAGTCCAGAAGAATACCATCAACACCTCAATCGCTCCATTCGCTGCCGTCAAATAACTCTTTATCTTTAACCCAATTCCTACCTTTTCGGACTTGTCGTTGACAACCTTGGCTTTGGCTTTCTTGTGTTGTACGGTAACTAATACACGGTAACTGATACACGGTGACTGATATACGGTAACGGTCCGTATACTAGCTAAGCTGTACTCCTTCGCTTGGTCGAGGGAATAAACGTTTCTGCTCTGGCCTCGAAATTCAAAATAAGTGTGCGAGGAGGTTATAAGGCCTCACGCAACCACTATGACCACATTCGTGGCTTCTCTGTGAGTATTCTCACTCAGTTGGAGTTCCTCATTGTTGTTGACTGCGTCTCAACCCTACTCGATGCTCTGGGGTACTGACGTCCTCTATTTAGCCACCTCCCTTATACCGTCCATTTCGACAATGGCACCGAAACCCCCCACAATAGGTCTCCACTCGGGTCACCCACTACCTCTCGGGAAAGAGCCCTTTCGGATTCCCGGAGGTCACCACCACGAATGAAATTGGCAGCCAATACCAATAACCGCACCGAGATAGTTCGCTCTCTCTTTGAGACACCGATCCCAGTACCGAACCTCCTTCAGACACTTGGCAGAAGCCTCTCTTCGATATCAGCGAGCGAACCAACCCCCCCTTTGACCCCAGCTGCCGCCGGTAGTCCTACGGGCGAGGGGTTCTTCCACCTCGGTGCTTCCGAGAATGCGCTCTTCGGCTCTACTAGTGAGCCGGTTCTTCCCCGGAAGCCCTACCAACCGAAACCATCAACGGGAACCCTGCCACTGGGTTCTACAGAAAATATTATCGCTTCAAACGCGCAGGGTCTCGAGGATAGCTACTTTCCTCTTCCCACCACCTACAAGCGTGAGAAGCGCCGGTCATCAGCATCCGAGCGTAGTAGTTCAGTTATGGATGAGCCTTGGCGTATCAAAAGAACTGGTCTAGGAAATGGTGGATTAAAAAATGCTGTCGAGGCTGCAATTTCCTCGGGGGTTTTGGAGGACAAAACCTGGGTTGGAACATTGGGATTTCCAACAGATGGCCTTGAGGAATCGATGAAAGTTGCGATCGAGGGGCGTCTCCGCGAGGATTACGATTCACTTGTAGCTTTTCCTAAAGATAAGGATTTCGATAGCCACTATAAGCATTATTGCAAGGAGGTTTGAATAGTCTATCAAAGTCATACTTGCAATCATACTGATTGTTTTCTCAGGTTTTGTGGCCTGTTTTCCACTATCAAATCCCGGACCATCCAAAGAGCAAGTAAGTAGACACAACCCCTTGAAATTTTGCACACAAAAAAAAAGATATCTAATTTCTATCTCCAGGGCCTTTTTGGATCACTCATGGAAGTATTTTGAGGCGGTCAATCGTTGCGTTGCTGACGTCATCATTAAGGATTACAAGCGTGGTGATACCGTTTGGGTTCACGACTATCACTTACTCTTAGTCCCTAAGATGGTCAGAGGAGTCCTCGGTCCAGAGGCTAAGATCGGATTCTTTCTCCACGTGGCATTCCCATCCTCAGAAATCTTCCGATGCTTGGCACATCGCCAACAGTTGCTGGAGGGAATGTTGGGAGCTTCATTGATTGGATTTCAGACGGAGGAGTACACACGCCACTTTTTGCAGACTTGCAGCAGACTGCTATGTGTCGAGGCCAAAAATGATGGGTTGGAGCTTGATGACAGGTTTGTCAATGTTATTAGCTTGCCGATTGGCGTAAACCCCGCCCAACTGGAGGAGAAGAGGAAAGAAGAAAGAGTTCAAGAGTGGCTAGATACCCTCAAAACAAGATATGCTGGAAAGAAGCTATTAGTCGCCCGAGACAAGGTATGCTACCCTCATTCGTGGTCTAGCATTATTCTTAGTACTTATTATTTTTAGTTGGATGGTGTGCGAGGTGTCAGGCAGAAAATGCTGGCATTTGAGCTTTTCCTAAAGAAGCATCCCGAATGGGTCGGGAAGGTAGTTCTGCAGTCCAAAACTTCGAGATATAGATATTAACAATCACCAGGTCATTTTGATACAAGTCGCTCTCACCACAACTTCCATAGTTGAGTTGCAATCGACCGTTATCGACATTGTAACTCGCATCAATTGCGCGCATTCTACTTTGGATTACCAGCCAGTTGTATACCTTCACCAAGACATCAGCTATCATCAGTATCTCGCACTCCTTACTATCGCCGATGCTCTTGTCGTGACCAGCCTTCGCGATGGTATGAACTTGACAAGTCACGAGTTTGTTTGCTGTCAGGGTGAGAAGCATGCTCCTCTTATTCTCAGCGAATTCACCGGGAGTGCTTCCGTGTTTGATGGCGCCGAGATATCTGTGAACCCCTGGGACCATAGCAAATGTGCCGACGCACTTTACCAAGCTCTTACAATGTCGGAAGAAGAGAAGAGCGAGCGATGGAAGAAGCTGCACAAGATTGTTATGCACCACAATGCATCATATTGGTGCAAGACATTCATAAATGAGCTTGATCGTTCTTGGGAGGAGCAGCAGCGACGTGGTTCAACTATGATCCCGAGATTATCGACAAAGGCTCTTGTGGAGGTGTACGAAAAATCCGAGAAGAGAGTCTTCTTTTTGGATTATGAAGGGACATTAGCTTCGTGGGGTTCCCCTACAAGTATCATTCTCACAAGTCCTCAACGCACTCTAGAGGTTCTGCACGACTTACTTCTTGATGAGCGAAATGTGGTGTACGTGATGAGTTCCAGGACCCCTGAGGTATAGCTTCTCTTTCCTTCCCTGGATTGAACAACTCACGGTACTGATACGCGATGCAGGAACTTGAGCGTCTCTTCCACCGAGTTCCAGGAATTGGACTCATTGCCGAGAGTGGCTGCTTTATACGCATGTTCCAAAACGACCGTTGGATGCGCTTAGCGGATACTAAGCTCCCGTGGCAGGAGAGTGTGAAAGAGATTATGGATTACTACGTAGAAAGGACACCTGGTACTTTCGTTGAAGAACGGAATTGCTCCTACATATGGCATTACAGTAGGGCAGAAGATCAGGTGCTCGCTGCACGGCAAGCTGGCGAATGCTGCAATCATATAAACGACTCATGTGAAAGCTATAATGTTCATGCAGTTCCCCTAGGTGGAGCAGTCCTTGTGGAATCTATGAGCTGGACTAAGACCACTGCAGCACAAAAGGTCATGGCTTTGGAAGCCGACCAAGACGAGCCCGGGACAGACTTCCTGATGGTTGTGGGAGACGGCCGCGATGACGAACCAGTCTTTGCTTGGGCGAATGAATTGGGCCGGAATAAGGCGATTAAGAACGTAACGACTGTTAAAGTGGGAACCAAGAATTCTCAGGCAAATACAACTATCACTGGAGTTGCGGGTAAGATTAGCTGCAAAAGGATTACTCTCGCATGTGGGCGTGCTGAATGGTTGGCTGACAATTTTCTGCGATATAGGTGTGCTCACGGCCTTGCAGAAGCTCCCTGCTACTATTCTCGATTTCTAAGCGCGGTTTATCTGTTTTATTTTTATTCTTGGTCAATCAGGCGTTGGGATTTCCCTTTTCTGTGATGCTCTTTTTATAATTTTCTTTTGGAAATCTATAAGTTTGATATCAAACATCCGCTTGTGCCCCTTGCTCGCCCCTAAAAATTTACTCTTTTTATTCTTTTTGTTCCTTTTATTTGGGGGCTAAGTACACACCGGTCGGTGTCAATCATTGGGATACCGCAGAAAATCGATATGACTGTTTGGTCTGCTTCGTAGCCTTGAGCCAGCCCGCTGAATCTCTCTCTTTCTTCCCCTTCCTTCTCTCAGCTGGGAATCGGTCGGTCGGCCGTCCTCTGAACCGATGAGTGCTTCCGTACGACATACATCTAACCTGGGTACAGTGCCTACATAAATGAGCCCTCACCCAGGAGGGCCGGGAAGAATGAAATGATTGAATTACGAACAGAAATTCATATATACATACAGAATGGTGCCGATTCGACACGAAGATGACATGTCATGACAGGTAGCTATGACTACGGCTTAAACTATGATACCGTAGGGATATGATTCAGTGCCTGTGGATTATGAGAAAGTGTCATGCCCTTGTCCTAACCCGGGCCAGGCTACAGAATCGTATTGTACTCGTAGAATATCACTCCAAGAGGCGCAAAAACGGGGACTAATACATACTGCCACGCAAACCCTCACGGTCTAGAAAGCCATTGCTGCACGCCATCCCTCCAAAAACTTACTCACCCCTTCCCCGCTCCCCTCCCCCGTTCATAGAAGGGACCTATACTACGGCACCATAACCCCAAACAACTCTCAAAAGTAAAGATTATCCCCACCCCCTGATCACCATACCCACTATGGTACAGTGTCAATCCCATCTCTCACCTAACTCACTGGCCAAATGCGGGGTATCCCAGCATTACAAACCCACCCAGCCCAAAACAAAACAAACCCCCCCCCCGTTAAGTTAGCTAGTCGCCGAGCATCAACAATGTCAAATTCCACCGAGGAAGGCTTGCTCGCTCGCTTGTCGAAGCATTTTTAGTCAATTTTCCCAGGGGTTGGTTTCCCAATTTCCTTCTTTCTTTTTCATAATAATACGGAGGGTCATGGCATGTCACTCGGAACGTCTTGGCGGATCAGGTTCAAGAGGGGTAGACTATGGCGGGGTTCGTACTACTATGGTGGGACTCGTACTCTACAAGTATAGTGCCACTGGCATATCGTGCAATACCGGTGGTGACTCCGTGGCATGATACACGCACGAGTATATCCAGTTTAACATGACACCTGCAAAGGTGGAGATATATACTCTTAATATGATACCTGTATGGCACTCCCCCCCCCCACCACACCCCCGATACCCGGATAGAATTTCTAGAGTGAAGATCTAGCAAGAAATTCTGCCTGCGGGAGAACAGGTAAAATATCATAGATCGGACCGTACGGCACGGTACCAACCCTTGAAACTAGATGTACATACAGTAGTAGCAAGAGTCACTCACAAAAAAACAGGTACGGACCATACATACTCCACACCCCACACCAACTGTACCGTTCCGTACCGCACCGCAGCGTACCCCTATCCATCCATCCATGACACGAACCTAGCAAAAAGTGTTGCTCCGGCAAACTCGATAGATAAATAAATAAATAAGTGAAGTAGAGAGAGAGTTCCGGGAGATCTACCGGGTCTGCCACGGTAAGCTACCATAGGTAGGTACAGTACAAGTTACGGTGCGGTGCGGTTCGGTGCTCCCGCCGTAGTGTAGTACCGTACACTTCTTCTTCAGCGCCGTAGGCGGGGGAGGATAAGATCCTGCCTACATACCGTGCCTGCCTGCCTGCCTGCCTGCCTGCCTAGCCCGCGCTCCGAAGGTGACAGGACCGTGGTATCATAAGTATCGAGGAGAGAGAAACCTGGGCGATAACGATCTCAATTGTTCCCGTGTTGTGATGGTGCGCATATTCGTGACTTGCTATCATATCATACATAGAGTTTTGCGAAGGATGGATTGGTTTCTGCTTATCAGTGGGATCTTAGGGCTGGACAATTTTGTTTTTTTTCCTTTTTTCTTTTCTTTCCCCCCGCCCATGATGGCGGATTCGCGGATGGAATTATCATACGGGGCTGTTCTTCATCCCTACCCTGCTCGGAATTCCACCCCACACTCTTTTATCCAAAAAAAAGAAAGAAAAAGGGAAGAAAAAGAAACATACTCGTACACTACGATAAGTGTATTCTACTCGTATCTTTTTTCTTTTTTCCTCTAATATTTTAAATTCTTCATGTTCGATCCCCGATCTGTAGTGCAGTATGGTGTTGATTTTAGATGCTTAAGTATTGAAGCGCACCGTACCGTAATAGTGGCTGCGGTGAGGAGGAGGGGGAGATTATGGTTTTGAAAGTGTTGTGCAGGTAAGTAGGCAAGTGGGGTCTTGAGATTTAAAAGCAGGGTGCTCGTAGGTATTGGACTATGCTGCCCGAGTCCCGTGAAGTGCTGCGCTTTCCGGTACAATGTCCACTGCGAAGCAGATCTATCTATCAAAAAAAAAAAAAAAAAAGGAAGGAAGAGAGAGAATATAAGATTCATTACTCACCTTCCTCTCCCACAAGCCGTACCGGTGCTCTTAGCAAGCTTGTAGATGCATGCAGCACTCTTGTCCCTTAAAACAATGAAGCGATGATTTCACAAAAAAAAAACTCACCCTCCCCCCTCACCCTCCACCCCTCTCCCCGGCCTGCCGATAGCAAATCCGATGACTTGCATGCCTTGCCATAACCGCTCGAGCGCTGAGTTCTCGGTAGAGTGTGTGAACGACAGACAGGAGGGTGCATTACTTGAGTAATCAGTTACTGTACGGTACAGCACGTATATCATATCATATCCATCGATAGTGGTCGTTTCCTTCCCGATTACAGCACCTGTTTGTTTGTTTTTCGTTTCGTTTTGTTTCAAACCTGTGTTACAATGTGTTGTGCTTGGTTGTGTTTACGGCACGAGCACCGGTACCGGTACCTGCACCATGAATACCAAACGCACCATCCGCTAGATGAAATAGCAGTGTATGATAAAGTATGATAGGAGTTAAGTTAAGAAATTAAAGATCCCCCCCTCTCCCGGTAGTGCCTCCAAATATCCGAAGAATACCGTAACTTCCTTGATACCAGAAGCCGATCCCACGGACTCCTTCCCTCCCTAGCTTGCCCGCTCGCAAACAGGCATATGAAACCACACCCGCCCATTAATAAAAAAGGGTCTAGAAACGCCGATCCGACGTCACGTCGACGCTGATGAAATAACCTTTTTTTCTTTCTTTCTTCTGTTTTCTTTTCTTTTCTTTTCTTTTTGCCTGATCAGTTGGGTTTGCTCTGCCAATATTGGTTTGGAGTACTGGTTACAGTACTCGAGTATGTCTTCGGGATGAAGAATGCCTGATTCGTTCCCCGTCGTGAGGATCGTGGGATGATCAGGGTCCGCTTTATTTTATTTTATTTTCCTTTTTCCTGTTTCTTTCTGTGATTGTTGTGGCGATGTCTTTTTTTTTTTTTTTTTTTTTTGCGTGAGGTGGGTGCTGATGTGCTGGTGGAGTGTTAATATCGGGTGGTGATCGGTGTTCTGGAAGGCTAGGTGCCTATCATGATTTATCATAAATAGGCTGCTACCGGTATCATGCTGTGTGAATCAGTATGATAGAGTGCGGTGCTCGAGTACCGGTATGTAGGGGGTGACAAGGGAGGGAGGGAAAGGGGAAAGGGAAGCTTAGGCCCGAAATTGCTATCATAACAGCAATGGAGGTGTTATGGTACCGGTACCAGTACAGCATTATCGCTATTTGAGAGTACAGTACTGTACGTGCAGCAGCACAGTTATGAGTGTGTCGTTCTGTGCCCCCCTCGCCCACAATACCGTACCCGTCTGTCGTCAAACTACGAATAGACCACCGGTGCACTAGCAATACCATCTTAATCCCTCTAACAGTAGCCCTACGATAACCACTCCCTTCCCGACGAGAAAGAAAGAAAGAAGGAAAGCGAGAATGACGTTACTTGGAATCTTTTTCCAGTCCTAATCTCCCTAGGAGTGAACTAGGCGAAAAAAAAGCTTGGACATGTGGACCAAACCCTATCGTCGGGGGATTCGAAAACCATTTCTATCACCGTCGTTCTGTGGTGTGGTCGCTAGGCAGGTGGGGGGGAGCTAGAGTGAACGCTAGAGCGTTGAGACTACTCGAGTAGTCCTATGATAGATCCGATTGACAGCCATTTTGTGTTCGGGGGCCCAAAGTGCGGGGAAACCCTACGAGTCCTCGATTCCTGGGGTTTCACAAATGCATGTGGGAAGGTTATGAACAAGATTCGCCTCGCTGGAACTGATAAGTTGCAGTAAGTCACTGGAGATGAACAACGGATGAGGCGAAACGTCTTCGTCTTTTCTTTCTTCATTCTCTGTTTCGCCTTCGTCCCAAGGTTCTGCGGACGGAAAGGGCAATATTGGGTTACACTCTCCATAAGTTTTTACTTGTATGTTACAATCTTACTAGTGATAACTCGAGATTGCACACTGGACTTTCACTTCTTCCCACTTCTTATGCTCCCCCAATTCTCTTTCATGATCTCTTGTCCCCATGCGAGCCTGAGCAACGGTAGCGGTCTGCTCACCGCAGATTCAACGACCGAGTATCGGTTGAACTTGCCACTTGGCCCTTTGCCTTTCTTACTCCTCCTGTTGGTTGCGGTCGAAGAGTGGTCCCTCACTCATAGCACAAATGCCACCAAGCTGCTGGCTTCCACACCTCTTTTTTTTTTTTGATTTGTTCCCTAGAATTTCTTTTTTATCATATTCCTTTGCTGTGGTTACCGGTATCTAAAGGTTCACTCCTTTGCTTCGCTTCCAACAGTAGCCCATTCCTCTGCCCTGATTGTCGTCCATTGGTTGCTCTCGAGGACGGCATGGACTCCCGCCAGTATTGGTGGTCAAGATAGCCACCCTTTCCCGTCATTCCCCCGTGCTTTTTCCACCCTATTCACAGGAGGTAAAGCCGCAGGGACACCTGTTTCGCCATCCCCCCCCGCTATTGTGATGAGGGTGGTGGTGGTGGTGGTGGTTAGCAGCGATGTGAAAATTGTGTGGGTGGGTATCTTAGGGGAAAGTGCACACCACACCACACCACTCACTCAATAATGCCCGTGGCCGTTCCCAGTGCGAGAGGCACCACAAAACCCCCCGAACTCCTCCCCCATTCCTTTCACATCTCTAGAGAGCCCACTCCTCCCACAACTCCGCCTTTCTAAAAACCAAAATCTCGCAATTTCTGCATCCAACCGGCATACGTATATATTTAATACTATCGTCCCAGCCAAGTAAGTTCTCTAGAGGAGCAGCCTGATCGTACCATTGTCATTCTATCCCATCCATTCTCTCACTCCATATTCTTCTCTCCCTTCCCCACTGGCCGACGGATCAAACCAAGTGTGTGAAGCAACGACCTTATAAAGCTTGCTTCCCCCTATTCTTCCTTCTCTATCCTCGTCGTTCGTGCTTCAGGAATCCCAAACAAGACCCAAAGCCACCACTTTCTTACAAACCTTAACTTCCCCACTACCTACCGTCACTCATCCCCATCAATAAATCACAATGTCTTCTGCTCGCACCTCCGAACAGGTGACCAACGGCCAGCCCCCAAGTTACCCCCACGCCCGCCGTGGCTCTCTGGGTCCAGGAACCTTGACCGACTTTTTCTCCACGAGTCGAGTTCCAACGACCTCAGCCTATCCAGGCCCAATCACCTCCGCCGCAGCCCAGGCAAACCGGCGAAGATTGAGTATGTCCAATGCCTCTGGAACCTCTCCTCCACGGGTCCAAACAAACATGTCGATGCGAAGGGGATCCATCTCTTCGGTCTCGTCAGCCTCCTCCGCCGTAGATGAGAGTGCCATCGAAGAAGGCGAGGTCAATGCTGGCAGTCCGTCCAGCCTGGGCAGCAGCCCATTCGCCAGGAGGCTCAGCTTTGGAGCGAGGGCTCTCAGGGACGTTCGGATTCCGCAAGGTAGAAACCCAGGGAATTTCCCCGTAAGTGCGGGGGCAGCATCCCCGACGGTGACAAGAGGTTAGCATCCTCTCTACCTTCACCCCAGCCCTCCCCCGCACTTTGGTTAGGCCAGGTTATTCGACAGGCAAGAAAGTGCTAACTTCTGTATCACAATTGCAGGCTTCTGGTTGGATGGAAGGTCAGGATCTCAATCCCAGGGGTCTGACAGGGACGAGGCTCCCGTTCAACGCCGTCAATCCATCTCGGTCATCCCACCACCAGTCAATGCCATCTCGCCTAAGGATGCTCACGATCCACTTCAAGAAAGGATGCTCAAGGGTGATTTCTACATGGACTAACCCGCTCCCCACAACCCCACAACGCACACACAACCAACCACACACACGTACTTTCTTCTCACTTAGCCCTCAATCGGGTCTTGTTTTATCCTTTTTATTTTCACTTTTTATTGTGCAACAACTTTCGCTCCTTTCCCTGAAACGAAATAACGAATGAAACGACCGGCTGGGAACAAACAAGAAAATTCACAGCGGAACTCAAATCTGACACAAAAGAGCGGGTCCCGGCTTTCTTTCTTTTTTTCCTGGCGATTAAAAAAAAAAACGGAGTAGTCGGGTACTGCCTCGTGATGTATAAAATGCCCGGTTCTGGACGAAAAGCGGAGTTCACGGTCATCGGTGACATTTTTTTTGTATCATACAAATAATGGCGATATTTTCGACTCTGGGTTAGGTTGGGGGGAAGGAGGCCTTTTGCCTGGGACTTGGGTTGTACCGAGGAGGTTAGATTCCCGGGTGTTGCTCCAGCTGACGGCCTGAGTGGTGGGATGGTAGTTTTGTACAGTATGAAAGGGGACCCTAGTCCAACACCCCTGGACTCATGCGGAGCTGAGAGGAGAGGGGGGCGAGGCAGGGCAAAGCGGGGGGGGCCGATCAATGATCGGAGATGGTGGGGAGAAGATAACACTCATTTATCATTTCCATTGGGTTACAAATTATCTTATTTTTCTTCCCTTCTCACTTTGGGGTCATCTGCTGTTGGTTTCACAAAGCTTTGGGCGCAGCATCTGTATCAAGTAGTTGTGAGCTTCTGTATCGTACCTGCCGGTATTGGTCTTTTTTCTCTGTTCATTTTGTTTTTACTTTACTCTTGAACGCGAATGAAACAAAACAGAGCAGCTTTCGATTCCTATCCTTGGATGCTCAATTAAAGCTGAAGATTTTCCGTAGCACTTCAATTTGAAAGCAAGATTCCGAATCTCAATATTGACTATTTTCCTTTTGTTTTTCTTCCCCTCTCTTCTCTCCCAACAATTTTTTCTTCGCTTTCTCTTTTTCATAAAAAATGCATTGAGGGAGAGGCCAGCCCAAAACGATACTGGCACCGACCATGGCTCAAGCACGTGCCGTAATCGGAAAGTTCGACTTCCAGAAACCGACAAAGAAATGAACTCTGAACCACACGAAATGTGGAATACGCTTCACTCGAGTACCCTCATGTACAGTACTCGTACTGTACTCGTACAGGTACGGTAACTACGGGACGAGGGCCACGTGTGGGTTGTGATCCGGAGCCCGTCTATGGTAAATTTATCTCGCTTGGCTTCTTTTATGTGCTCAAGGACATGGGAACAAGGGGAAAATAAAATAAAATGAAAACACTCATACCGGTGCTGCACACTACAGCGCGCACCAGTAGCGAAGGCGAGCCGAGATATATTTCACGACGGTGCTTTCCCAAACCACTGTTCAGTATTGCAGCTCACTTGTAACTCGTCGTATTCCAGACAGCAATACCAGCACGCGAAGGGGGAAACTGATTGCTCCTTTGCTTGCCATATTCACATAGAATGCAGGGACAGAAGTACTGCAGGAGGGGTGGAGGAGGCGGAGCAAATGATAGAATGTCTGTAACCAAGAGAATAATTAAGAGATGGCATACCCGAAATTGTTTGCGTGGATTCGCTGGAAGTTCAGAGGAATGACGTCTTAACTGCACGATGATGATGATGATGATGATAAGAATGAAGAGACAGATGGATAAGGATTGAAGAGATGGACAAAATATTGGGCTTGACTTGGATGATTTTATGAATGTTGGAAACATTTCCCTGTTGGAGGAAATGAGGTGAGGTGGGCCTGGTAGGGAGGGTGTGAAATGTTTCCTTTTTCTCTCCTTCTATGCTCCCTCTGGATTTATTGTTTTATTTACTTTTTCTCGCTTTTCGCTTCTCGCTACTCCTATGATAAGCCGACAACCTGATGAGAAGGAGAAGGAGGAGGGAGAGGGAAGTAAAGAGGGAAGCCGGTGAAACTTTCTTCACGCTTGTTTTTCTATTCCTTCGCTCAGGGTTTGTTTTATTGACTGCGTTGCTATCGCTGTTACTACCGAGCCACACAGCCAACGTCTACTCTGGCGCCCCCTTCCTGCTTCCCTGCCCGCTTTTCTTTCTGATTCCATCCACATCATCCTCCTCTCTCTCTCTCTCTCCCCTCTCACTCATCCATCCCTCCAAGTCCGAATCCCTTCCACTCCTCTCTTTCAAAGCACAAAGCTCTTTCTATCCTTCCTCCACCACTACCACCCCCACAAACCACCCCCACTGAAAACCCCTTCCACATCCGCATCTTCAGCTGCTATCAACAACCTCCCTCCCTCCCCTCCTCCCCCTCATCCTTCAACTTGCGTTTAATCTCCAAATAAATACACAAACATCTAAACTCCACCAAAACATCATGACTACCGAGGTATGTGCCAGAAACTGTTTTTAACCTTTACTCTTCATTCCCTGCAGGACCCCTCCTTGCTCATCAAAACAACCCCAACCCCCTCTTTAATACCCGTCATCATCAACTCTTTTCCACCAAGAATGTCGCTAATGATTATTTCGTTTGTTGTGATTACAGCGCGAGAGGTAATAACATCCCACTGGCAAACTATTCCCCCTACCGGTAATCTCATACTAACCCCTACTGCAGCAAGACTTTCCTCGCCAGATTGTGCGAGCAGGCTGAGCGTTACGATGGTTTGTTACTCCCGTGTTTCTTGCCGTTTCCACACCGATGATGTTGTTTATTAACTTTTATGCTTGTTACATTTTAGAAATGGTTACTTATATGAAGGTATTTACTCCCCCTCCTTTTCGACCCCGCTTTACACGGAAAGTAGGCTACAAACAATGTGAAAAATTTATTGACTTGCTTTTCTTTTCTTTTCTACAGGAAGTTGCTAAGGTATACATAACCCTAGAGCTGACATATCTATCGTTACAACGATAGAATTCCTGGCATCCGATCGGCCCGATCGGCTCCATAGATTTGAAGCTGAATCCGGCGCTAACTGGTGGTTTTATCAGCTTGGCGGCGAACTCTCCGTTGATGAGCGTAATCTACTTTCGGTTGCGTATAAGAATGTTGTCGGAACCCGTCGTGCCTCATGGAGAATTATCTCTAGTATTGAGCAGAAGGAGGAGACCAAGGGTTCTGAGAAACACGTTACGAAAATTCGCGAATATCGCCAGAAGATTGAGACCGAGCTGGAACAAGTTTGTGGTGATGTTCTCAATGTCTTGGACGAGTCTTTGATCCCTAAGGCCGAGTCCGGCGAGTCTAAGGTTTTTTATCACAAGATGTACGCCCTGTTCCGCACAAATCACTTTTACACTTTTGTGGGAAAATCTCTGATAAGCCTTATATTTACAGGAAGGGTGATTACCATCGTTATCTTGCTGAGTTCGCCTCTGGTGATAAGCGGAAAGATGCTGCGACCGCCGCCCATGAGGCTTATAAGGTACCTCAATACCCCGCCCCCGCTTTTGATCCACTCGGATACTCAGTTTTTTTTTTTTTTTTCTGTGGCACATGAGCACGTGCTCACTAACATTTGCAGAACGCTACCGATGTCGCGCAAACTGAGCTCACACCTACTCACCCGATCCGCCTTGGTCTCGCTTTGAATTTCTCGGTTTTCTACTACGAGATTCTCAACTCTCCTGATCGCGCGTGCCACCTTGCTAAGCAGGCATTTGATGACGCTATCGCCGAACTCGACTCATTGAGTGAGGAGAGCTACCGCGACTCGACCCTCATCATGCAGCTTCTTCGTGATAACTTGACCCTCTGGACTTCCAGTGAATCTGGGGATGCCGAGGAGTCTGCACCCGCGAAGGAGGAGGCCAAGGTCACTGAAGCTAAGCCGGAGGAAGCCCCGGCTGCATCAGCCCCGGCCGAAGAGACTAAGTAAATTTTCGGTTGATGAACAAAAAGCAGTTGTGGATTTTGGCTGTTGCGTACTGGGTTTCAATGATGGCATAGGATGGAAAAGGGACTCTGGTGATAGTGTTTTTCTCTTTTCCGTTTGATGTTCAACTGAGTGTCGCCGGGGGAATGAAGTTTCAGTCAAAAAATATACACGCATCTGGTAAATGGAACGCTTGTTATCTTTTGAAGGCAATTTTCCTGTTTCTCATTTTCACTTCATTGGCAGCGCAAAGAAAACCAGCGGAAACACCATGGGATATTCATTTTTTCGAAACTTCTAAATGTTGGCTTCTCTTTTTTTCTCTATCTATTCTGTTAGCGGATTTATTGTTTCTCATTTCCTATTCTACCGCTTTTATTCCCCATGCCCCATCTTGTAGTTTTTCTGCAAACTTCTCAGTCCCCTTTCCCCCACCCCATCGACCTCACCTTTTCTCGAACTCGGAGCTGTTGCGCTGATATTTTCACCGATAACACAATTTGTTGGTGGTAAAAATCTTTGGCTAAATTTCATTCACGTTCATGTAAGGCTTCTCTAGATAGCTTATTGTGTGCGTTTTTGGCGGACAGAATTCGAGCGATATTATCATACTTTTTAGATGTTGGGAGAGGTGTTACCCCTACCTACCCTGTGGAGAGGTTATTGGTTGTGGAGTGATGGCTTGGCGTGAATTTGTGCTAGTATATATATGCGCACACGCACAGTATCATACACGCTTCTATGATTGCCCATCCCTTCACAGGGCTTGACCGTTTCACGGCAGGCCGTATTCACCAGATGAGAACAGGTAAAAGCTACCTGGCCGCCCACCGTTCCTGGAACAACCCCGGCCCCACATCATGTCCTCGGTGTGACTCTGTCTGCAAAGACATGCCCCATGCTATTCTCAACTGCTCCTCTAGAGCTCAGGCTCGGACAGCTCACATACCACTTCTCAACTCTATAGCTGCAGACTCACCCCTTTGGAAAAGCACCTACAGTCTACTTGGCCTCGCTCACTACATCCACGTTACCTGCACCAACTATCCTCCAAAAAACAACCCATCTCCACCCTCTACTCAAGAAAGTTTACTCTCCTCACCTTCTCTGTATGGTTTGGATTTTCAGTTATGGTTTTCTTATTGTTCTTTCCAGTTAGGTTCGAGTAATTTCTACAGGATGGGCTTCTGGCCATAAGAAGGCGCCATCAGCTAGGTAGATAGGTTCTTATATGTTTAGTCACCTTAAGTTTGAATTTGCTTGGTACATTTTTCAGGTTTTTTTCTGAGAGCCAGGGGAGGAGTATTTGTTTGGCGAAAAGGTGGAGGTTGAGTTTTATTTTGTTTGTTATGTTGTTTTGAGGGTTTTGTTTATGCTATAGTTTGATTACTGCATGCGAGTACTTGTACATACCTAGTTGATAGCTGAAACAATGAATATATGAGTTAATTAAAAAAAAAAAAAAAAACTTCCATGATTGTGTAGAATTTTATGCATCTTTATAATGGAACTTGAATACTATTAAGGTGGATAATTTGTTTCAATACAGAATGGTTTGACACCTTCCATTGATAATGATAGTGATGATAACGTGGGATAAAGCCCTAGGCTAACCACGATGGATGCAATACTGTGAGAACACTTCTCGTAATTTTCTGAGGTTCGTGAACATGACTGCTATTGCATACCACCAAAATCCTGAGGTTCTGCTCGATTTTTTTCCCATACTGCATTATGTAATGGCAGCCGTGTTCACAAACATCAGGAAACTATGATACGAGTCAAAGCAATGCTTGTGCTAATACGCCCAGGGGTTGTTGGCATTCGGGGAATAGGAAAAGCAAACTCATCCACACGCGGGAGGGAAGCACTCCAGACTCCAGAGGTGTCACTTGACGGGGTTCAATAAGCACGACCCCTCCTCCTTTCTTTCCCTCGCCTATCCAAGTTAAGACTTGAAGCGACCCCCCGCTTCGAAACTATCTTTTAGCTTCTCGGCTCCTCCCCAAAACCAAAAGGAAAGGAAAAGAAACACAATGCTACCACAAAAAGTCATCATAGATACAGACCCTGGGTATGCCCCCATTAATCTCATAATTCCAATCCACCGCTAACCCCAATAAACCCCCCCAGCGTCGACGACGTCCTCGCTCTCCTCCTCGCGCTCTCCGCATCGGCGGAGGAACTCCAGGTCCTACTAATATCATTGACCTTTGGCAACATCGATGTTGAGAGCTGTCTGCTGAACGTGGTCTCCATGTTCCACGTCCTCGAGCTGGAGCGGAAGTGGAGGCTGGAGAGTGGGTTGCCGGTTGGGTTTGGTTGCCTGAGTGCGCATAAGCCCATTGTTGCGGTGGGGGCGGATACGCCGTTAGAGGAGAAGGCTATTATGGCGGATTACTTTCGTGCGTTTTACACAAGCTCCCTGTGTGCAGCGGAGAGCTGGTCGGTTGGCTAATGGGCCGGGATTGGAATAGATGGAGTGGATGGGTTGCAGGGGATTCATACTACTGTTTGTTCTCTCTCAATATTGCGGGTTGGGTTGGGCTGGGTTGGGCTGACGACGAGGAACTTTGGTAGGCACCACATTTCACGCCTGAGCAGACGTGGAAGCACATGTTTGCTACTACGCCCGTGTTGAAGAAGGATGAAGAGCACCCGCCGAATTTCAGTCCTACGAATAATCCGGCGCATAAAGAGATTCTGAGAGTTCTCAGGGAGAACCCAGTGGATAGTGTTACTATTATTGCTGTTGGTCCTCTGACGAATCTGGCTCTGGCAGCAGAAGAGGACCCAGAGGCATTCCTGCGCGTGAAGGAAGTAGTAGTTATGGGTGGGAGTATTGACGTTCCTGGAAACGTACCCTCTCCGTCCCCTCTGATATTGTAATACATCACACTAATAGGTGCAAGATAACACCCAACGGTGAATTCAACACAGTGGCTTGTCCATACTCCGCCGCTAGAATCTACTCCCTAACTTCCCCCAACCCCTCCGCAACTGCACCCCCACCCCCCATCACCACTAAAAAGCTAAAACCGATCCCAGGAGTTCTCTCCCGCCGCCTCAACCTCACCTTGTTCCCCCTAGACATCACAACGCCCCACCTATTAACCCAAGAAACTTTCACCAATACCATAAACCCCCTCCTCTCCTACCCCTCCTACCCCTCCCCATTAGCACAATGGACAAAAATATTTGTCGATGTGACCTTCGCCAAGATAAAGGAATCCTGCCCCAGCGAGACAATTGGTGACGGGGGGCTCTCCCTTCACGATCCGTTGTGTGTATATTATGTGCTCACCCGGCGGCGCGGCGGGTGGGAAGCTCTAGAGGACAGGGACCTAAGGGTAGAGACGCGTGGGCAGTGGACCAGGGGAATGTGCGTTGTGGACCGGCGCAAGAGGAGGGTTGTGGGTGCGGCGAAGCCCGTGTTGTTGGGGGATGAGGGGGTTTGGCTGCATTGTGGGTTCGGGAATAGGGTTCGGCAGATGGTCAAGAGTCCAGATGAGAAGGAGGTGGCGGGGGAGATGTTGAGGAGGATTTATGGGGGAGCTTGAGGGGGAAAGAAAGAGGGAAGGAGGGATGGGTGGATGCCCAAGTGTTAGGTTGGCCTGTAGCTTTCCGCTGACCGAAGAAAAGACCAATCAAGAAAGCCAACCTCACTCTGGTAGCTATATACTTTTATCACCATTGTAGGACGAGGCATTGCATGCACGGTATCTTGCCCTGAGTTCAGCGTCTCACCCAAGCTTTGTATCATACTGTGCCTCACAAACGACCATCCACGAAAACCTCCAATGGCTGGTGGTAGAATAAGCCTAGCTACCGGTACATCTATACCCTACTGTACATAAACTAAGGCGGCCACCGATGCGCGAGAGACACTGCGGAAGCAATCTTTGGTGAAAACAGCAAACATTATCGGCACTACTAACATCGCTGGATGCAAGTTAAGATATACAAGGCTTTCCAACTCAACATGATTCAAGTTCTCCCACTACACACGATCCATACAATTACAAATAAAAGTCCCCATTTCTCTCACTAGGGGTGTCCAATGCCACATGTAAACCAAAAGCGCCTTGCATAACGCGAACGATGATGATTTCTCGAGCTAATAAATCGTAACAGTGTTCAGTACATCAAGAAATCCCCCAATCATGTCCACCCAGTATTTCACCTTGAGGCACGCGTCTCACACCGATTTTTCTAACAATCTTCCTGGGGTTGATTGGACTTCTCGGGGGGGGGGGATTTTTCTCTCTTAGCCACTTCTCCCAGCATAATGAATCCTTGCTAGCTAGCAAGTGAGAGACCGCGGGGCCGACATGGCAGCTGCAGGTAACCTAATGTGCCCCGGCCAGGTTCTAGATACTCAAGTATGATACTGTACATGGCATGTCCAATGACCGAAGAGCTCTTTCTCACGATGATGGAATGTTTTCTAAAACGGTATGTATATTGAGGCTCCGATTTCCGACCATTCTCGGCACAGCCAAACACAAGCGCTATCCATACACCCCAGCTTCTTCACCATCCTCATCCATCCATCTGCCCACGGGGGCAAGGTGAATCCGTCAGAGTAGAAACCAATATTAAGCCGAACCGACTTGGAAGCCCCTAATCATTGAAAAAGAAAAAAAAGAAGAAAATGATATCACACTCTTGATCGGGCTTGAGCATGCGATATTTTTTTTCCAACCGTGTTCATGAAATATCACTCGGACAGAAGAACCATTGAAACCACGTGACGATACCCGGCGGCGAACTCAACCATGATAATTATTATCATAGAAAACAGTTCTTGAACTAGCCATACGTATCGTGGGAAAGGAAGGATCTAAACAGGAATAAACTCAGCTTGTACAAGTACCTGGAGTCTTGCAGTCCCTGAACACCCGTTCCTGGATATGGTATCATAATTATGATACCTTAGCGGTTTCCTCGGCTGGGGTGTCCCACGCTGGCAATCCGGTGGACAAACGAGCAACGAGTAGGCATCCGGTGTGACGTGGAGAGGGGGGCATGCTTCGTTAGGCCCCCCATACCCCACCCTCGATACTCACGCCTATGACGGGGATGGACGGCGGGTACCCGCTATGTTATGATACTTCACCGTTCGCTACTTTAAGGCATACCGTTCACGGTAATTAGTTATGATACCCCGTCGTGGGCGTGGTTTTTCATATTGTTGCGCATAATCGCTTCAACAATCCTTGCGCTGTCGTAGAGCACGCTGCTTTTTTTCCTACCCTCACAGCACTCTATATATCTTTCGATTTGGGGGGGAGAAATTATACATGAAAAAATGAAAATGAAAAAAAAAAACGCCTAGCCAAGAATTTGCAGCTGGACGAAAAATCGAATACAGGGGGATGAAAACCGCAAGCTGGAAAATGGGACCTCCTCGCAACAATAGTGAAGGAGCCTGACCGAAGCGCAAATGGGTGAAGCGGTGGGTAGTGAAATCCCTCACGGACCGAGCGCAAGGGAACATGGGAGTATGGTGCGCTAGACCGTCGATAGAGACGCTGGATAGGGACGGTCAAGGAGGTAAATACGTGACAACTCCAGAAACTCTACAAACCTCATGCGAAACACACTATCCTAACAAATCATGGTTCACCGCGATCCCAAACAATCCAGAGCCATCCTGATACGACACCTTACAAACTGCAGTCTGGTACACCTTGCAAACCATGGTGCGCCAAACACCTCCTAGTCTAAGCCTTTCCCGTCTCCGATGGACTGCCGACTCTTGTAAGATTGCTTCAATATTTAAGGAAATTGGTGGAAACCTAGATACACCCATCAGCGGATATGTTGGGTGGGATTCGCGGCACCATTTCCCTTAGGTACGAGGCTATCTTCAAAAACCGTTTACCCCCCCCCCCCACTTTACGCCAAAAATGGGCATTTTCACTTTGCAAAATCTCAGCTTTGTCACCCTGTAAAAAAATTTAAAATTTGCTATGGCCTTTGGAGCCATCAAGATATCACCATTCATGAGTGATGAGCTCCATTGGTTGATGGCCATGCTGCAATACAAGAAATAATAATCGTGAAGATACTTCTAATTAAATTTTTATATGGGTTTCCCATACAAAAGGTATATTGCAACGGCATCCAATCTGGCCATGCAGCTCTCAGTTCTCAAGGTGGAGTGGAAAAATTGACATAATTTTTATGCAGAGATTCTGGGTAATTCCCTACACAATGGAATTAATTTCCTTAATTCTCCCATTGCTTTTGGATGAATTGAGCTTGTCTAAAATCAGCCATTTTGGTGTAAAATGGGGGGGGGGGTTTCAGCGAATTTTGAAGATAGCCTCGTACATTTCTAATACTCTCGACACGACGCTCCAGAACACCCCGACGCCACAACCGAGGCTCCAGGCGTAATAACCGATCTACGAGTTGAGATTGGTCATCGGCAACTGTAGTTGTTCTGCATGCTAACACAGTTCATATCGTTGAAGGAGTTGTTATTATCTTTGGTATCGGATTGACAAAAGTTCCGCTATTTACCGTTTGCACTGGTGCGGGTTCAAATATTTATCGCAACCAACAAAGGGTGGTGTTAAGGAAGAGTTATTGAGTACGGTGGGTTAATGATATTCCTGTATGTTGAAAAAAGAAGTACTCGTACAAGTAAGTATGGAGACAACCTCATTCTTGTGTCTGATGTATATATCGGTACTGTACGGGTATTGGGTCCTGGCCTATCACTCCAGCCTCGGACAGTACAAACTTCCATCCACGAAAAACCCCGAGTGCTGATGCTGGAATACCGGTGAGCAATCCCAACTACAAGTCTATCTACTGGATATACGCAAACTAAGGCAATCTCTGCCCCTGACATTGCAGATCAATTCGCAGTGGAAGCAGCAATCATCAGCACTAATAACACAGGTGGTTTCGAGACGAGATATGCAAGGCTATCCTATTCAATGATGATGATAGAAGCTTTTCCTCTCTATCTATGACCACTATAGCTACAGACAAAAGACCCTACTTCTCTCACCAAAAGCGTGGTCCCGTGTAAATTATTAGCATCTCACATAACGCGAACGATAATGATTTCTTTAGTTGAGAATCCTGACATTCTTCTCAATATTACAAGTATTATGATTGAGGCGTCGGTGATGTGCATTGTGACATGGGTAAGGCAATAATAATGCTGGTGTGATACAGGCACAGGCACCGGCATGATACCGGTGACATGGCATTGATACGACAAAGCGAATAAGTTACTATGATACCGGTATCATACCCCACTAGAGAAATCTCATCCCACCAATTTTGTATTGTGCTGTGGTGGAGAGCTCACCGGTAGGGTAACTATGTCGCAGGCCGAGTACGAGTAGAATCCTCGCTGCAAGGGTTTCTTCTCATAATGTTACACGTTCGCAACATCTTCTGTTTTCACGCTCTGGGATCAAGCTTCTTTTTTTTAATACCCACTCTCGTTTTTCTAAAGGTCTTTTTCTCGAATTGCCCCTAACTCCATCTCCCTTTTGCCTTTATCTCCTAATCAACCGGGGGCTCCAGAATGGATCGGTGAGCTCCACCTCTAAGAGATTCGCGTCGCTACCCTGATCATATACCTAACCCCCATGTCGTCATAATAGTCCCTCGAGAACTCTACGACGGATTGCTCTGGAGCGACTGGCCTCACTATCGGTCAAAGAATCTCAACTAACTGCTTCCTCTGGCTCGGGCTCGAACAAAAAAAACTCGGATCTCGATCGTCTGGCTGAGGGATGTGTTGCCTATCGTCCCACGCTGAATGGTGCCCTTTCCGGTAACGGGAGCTTGAACGAAGCTGGAACCCCGCCCACAAAGACCGGAACTTCTCAAATTCCCATAGTCAGTTCACCAAGTATCACACGAAAGCTTTTATTTGTGCTAAACTGTTGCTCATAGTCATTGCGTGAGTTTGAAGTGTTGCTCGCCCTCTGCAAAGCAGCGCCCCTTCTTCAAAGCCACGAAAGCGCAGAACGTCTTCGTCGCCAGCTCTCACCCTACCTAGTCGAGTCTTACGGCCAGAAATTATCACCATCTCCCTTTTTCCGCGATATAGAACCCTCGCCATGGGAATGCCTTACATCTCACTTGACTGGCACGTTACTATCCTTGGGATTGAAGTTCCCCTCACTGCGCGAGAAGATTATCGACACCATTCATACATATTTGGACAACGCTGCAGCCTCCTCGGCTACTGAGCTGGACGAGGGCGACGCGCTTGCATTTGCTCCGCTGGTACTTTCGTTCCTTGGCTTCCTGGACTCCTGTGCTAAGCATGCCAACTTCTGGTTTTCAGATGAACGAGTATCGCTTATATCCCAAATACGGGATGTCCTCTCCGAGAATTACCTTTCCAATGTCGAGGCCGTTTTTGCCGTAGTTCGAAACTCCGATTCCCAGGAAGCCTACTTAAAGCCATGGAAAATCCTTCTTCGCCGGTATTCTGCTGCTGGAAAGTCGCTTGGCGCTATGCTGATACAGCGAGAGTATATGAAACTCGTGGTTGCCGCCACTTCCCTTATGGTCGTGGAGGAGCCGGTTCTCCAGGGCCAGCAAATATTGGACACTATCATGTCGGATCGCGAGGTTTCGGCCAACACTGAGGAGGACCCTTCTACTATCGAATTCTTTGTGGAAGTCGCTTCGGGAGGTATAGCACTAATGGAAGATGGCGCAGAATACGCTCGCAGTGAATGGCAGCAGCAGCTTGGGTTTTCCATGAAAGCCCTGGCTCTGATCGCATATTCTAATTGCCTATTCCTCAATGAGAATGTCGCAGACCTGGAGCAGCTCCTTAAATGGCTAGCAACAACCATGTCCGATGGAGCACAACTTTCCAACGGGGAGCTCGCTAGTACTGTCTTGAAGCTGCTGTCTATTCTATCGAACAATGACCCCCAGTCTACTCCTAATTTCGTTAGTACCTTACATAAGTTCATTGTCGAGGGATCAGGTCCCACCAATCAGAGTACTGTGAGAGTTGCAGGGAAATGCTTAGCATATGTCTTGAAATTCCTACCGCAAGATGTAACCATCACAACATTAAATACACTGGGTCATGTCCTTTCGTCCTCCAATCCGGAGCGCGCGCTAAAGGCTGAGAGGTTGCAACCTTTTGATCAGTTGACTATGGGAAGCACGTTGTCTCTCGCCGCTGGCGGAGAAGAAGATAGACTATATGTCTATTCAAGCATCATTGAGACCATTGTTAAGATTATTGAGAGCTGTAAGGACGAAAAGGTGGGCATATTAAAATGCTACCCGTGATATTCATCCAGTTGAGCTGACAAAAGAGTCTAGATGGTCTCTTTGGGCCAACACATCCTCGTGCAAAGACTCAATAAAGTCAGCGCAGCCGTCAACGCAAAAATCCTTACTGGACTTGCATCTTTAGCCTTGAAATCATCTCCCACGGATTTCAAGTCCGTACTACAAGTATATAACAAGATGGGTACTGACGCGGTCTGGCAGGACGATGTTGGTATCATTCGTGCCGTAAGTCATCAAGAGCTCTCTTCTCTTAATCACACAGAATCGTTCCGGCTAATTATCTAAACTAGATCTTTGATGCGAGAATGACACTCGCTGCAAGTTTGATGCGCGAGTCACAACTGTATGATATTTATTTGAATGATATGCTTGAATTTTTTGCTGCCATTGGTGACTCTCGCGAGCCCGAGGGGAAGAAACAAACAGATACTTTGGTAAGTACCTTTATCTAAAATCGGTTTCTAGTTGGGACTATTAGGAAATGGCTAATTAGTCCTTGCAGCTTGTGATCCGCGAGATTCATCAATTCATTCCACCCCTTGCTAAACTACTCTCAAATAATGGGCCTGAGGTCAATTTTGCCATTCGCTATGGATTTGCCTCGCTTCTCCGTGACTTCTGGTTCAACTGCGCCCTAAATGGCATTGTTTATGATTCGGAGGAGGCAAAGAAGTACCTATCAGAACTCCGAATAATTGCGCTCTATACCCCGCCATTGGTCTCCGGAATGGAGGAAGATGAAAGTATTGACAGCGATCTGGGTGAGCAGTCTATTCTCTCCCGGAACATGTCACCTCAAAACACGGTGGAGCACAAGAAACGGCTCCTCGCCTTGATCCCTTCAGAAGAGGTTGGAATCAGACCCCTTTCCCACTCCCGGGCTATTTTCCTGGAAGCTGCCTATACCCTCGAGTCTTTCAGGGCAGAAGCAGGCGGATGTTCTAAGGTCCTTGCCTACTTCATGGAAGTTGGCTTCAAGGCTGGCACAGGCACCAGTTGCATGATCGCGGCGGCAAGCAGCGTTATGGATACCTATATCGGAAAAGTCCTGGAAGGAACCTATCCAGAATTCTCAGCGATGAAGGCTGCCGAGGAGTTAGCAGATATATTTGTCGGGTGTTGCCATCGGCTTGAGCGGGTTCAGATCATCGCAATCGGAATCGCTGATCGCATGATTGATGTAATGCCTTCGGCGCTCTGCCAAAAAACTTCCCTGTTTGCTCTATTAGAGTTACTCACTTTGCTATGGCTGAGCTGTTTGGAGGAGGAGACCGATGAGTATACCACTCGTTCCATCTTTACTTCGGTGAAGGGGGGAGTTTCGGTTGAACTGCCAGATTCTTACTTATTCCGACGCAAGCTACTGAAAGTATTTCAGGCCAAGGCAAAAGCGTGGGTTCTTCAAGTCTTGAATGTGGCCCCACTTGATGTCAAAGGCCTTATGCAAACTTACCTTTCCGAATTCGAAGATGAAGGCAGTCTCGGGCATGTATCCCTTGGTCGATCTTTTGCCGTGGAAATTGGATCTGCGGTCCCGAGCGGTGACCAGAGGCTAGCATCAATCGATCACCGTCGGGATTGCGATGGCAACGTTGCCTCTGATTTTGTCATGCAATACACAACTCGTCAAGCGTACCGTTACACCGAGCCAGCTCTTGAGTATCACCAAGATTGGCTAAGCATACGACCTCTTGGGGACTCTGCTAACTCCTCTAATGCCCCGTCCATAATGCGTCCGGATTCTGCACAAGCCCTTTTGTCCCAGATGGAGAGCAAAGACTACGAAAATGAGTTTGTTCCCATCGGAGAACTTCGCGATATGTTGAAGAGGGCAGCTGCACTTGTCTGTCGCTCGGAGAAGGATCAGGGAGCCCTTATCCGTGGCCTTGTTGGAATCCCTTTTGCTGTTTTTAGCAAGAAATCTATCAACCTTGGTATCTCACTATGGACAGGGGTGATCCACGAGAAGCCCCGCCTCCAATCCAGAATTCTCACGGAAATTGCAAGGAATTGGGAGATGACTGTTGAGAAAAAGATGGGTCTGTTCTCCGACAGCTTGACAAGCCTTGATCCTTTCGAACTCAAAATGGAATACGCGCCACCGGACAAGGAGCAACACTTGATCGAACAACAAAATGCCTCCGACGTGCTTTCCCCCCATTTGAAATTGCTGCACATGCTTTCCAGTCATTATCATGCCACCAGGAACGGAAACCCTCACATCCAGAAGATATTCCTAAGATTGGTTCGCGTATCGCTGGCAGGACTTCATCACGCTACAAGCCACCCACTTTCAAGAGAAGTTAGGTTCAAGTTGGTGTTATTCGGGTTACAGGTTCTAAAATACAGCACTAGATTGACCGAACGCCAGCAATGGAGACTCAAGGATCAAATCCTTTCGGCAGCTTTAACATGGTTCAAATTCCCACCACAGTGGTCCTTTGGAGGAAATAAGCTGCAGGTCAAGGCCGAGGCTCATCTGCTCCAAGATGTTGCGAATCTCCTACAGAGCATTGCCACTATCTCTAGCACAACCAAGAATGTTAGGGAAAAGAATGACTTGCTATTGATGCTTGTTGAGAATGAGTTAACAAGACTGGCAACATGGCTTTATCCTCTCGATCACTCAAGAAAGCATCATCTGTTACCCTCCTATCCAGCTAGACCGACCACTGATAATTCCATCGCTGTCGTTTTACCTACCGCCTGGCATGAAGACCCGGCGATTGCTGTGCAGCTAATTAAACGTTTTCAGTCACCACGGCTTGAGCAAGACATCAAGAGGTTTATAATGGCATATCCCGAAGCAGTAGTAGACCAGCCAGATGCACTTCAGATAATGCTAGGAGATAAGCTCTCTAGCCAACTCAGTTTTCAATTGAAGGTTGGAACTCTTATTCATCTTTTAAGCTTGATCACTATACTCATCTGTGATTCAATAGTACCTTCTGTATTGGGCTCCGGTCAATCCGATCACCGCAACCACTTACTTCCTGCCGTCGTATGCGAATAACGCTTTTATCTTACAGTATGCAATGAGGGCGCTGGAGAGTCACTCGATCGATGTTACCTTCTTTTACGTTCCACAGATTGTTCAAACCCTGAGATATGATACATTGGGATATGTCGAGAGATTCATTCTCGAGACGGCCAAGTTCTCACAGCTGTTTGCTCACCAAATCATCTGGAATATGAGGGCAAATGCGTACAAGGATGAAGATTCCCAAATTGTAAGTTTTCCAATCACACGGGTATATCATTGTGATCTCTAACCCCAAATTAAGCCTGATCCTATCAAGCCAACTTTGGACAAAGTCATGGATCATCTTGTCGGAAGCTTTTCTGGCACAGACAAAAGCTTTTATGAACGTGAATTCTCCTTCTTTAATGAGGTTACCTCGATTTCTGGAAAGCTTCGCCCTTATATCAAGAAATCCAAACCAGAGAAAAACCAAAAGATCGCCGAAGAACTGGCGAAGATAAATGTCGACGTCGGTGTTTACTTGCCTAGCAATCCTGACGGAGTTGTTATCGATATCGATAGGAAAAGCGGCAAATCACTTCAGAGCCATGCTAAGGCCCCCTTCATGGCTACTTTCAGAATTAGCAAGAAGGATATCACTAATGTCGCCAAAACTGAAAATATGAGCCGCAATGAGCGGCGTCAAAGCTCTGTCTCTACTGTAACCAGAGAATTATGGCAGGCGGCAATCTTCAAGGTTGGAGATGATTGTAGGCAGGACATGTTGGCCTTGCAACTTATCTCGACGTTCCGAAACATCTTCAATAGCGTTGGTTTGGATGTTTGGGTATTTCCTTACAGGGTCACTGCGACCGCTCCTGGATGTGGTGTCATCGATGTCTTGCCAAATTCCATATCTAGAGATATGCTGGGACGAGACCATGAAATGGGATTGTATGATTACTTCATCAATAGGTATGGTGGTGAGGATTCAATCAAGTTTCAAGAGGTATGCGCTTTGCGGAATTCCCCCCGCCAAAATGATATTAACCTGAAATAAAGGCAAGAAACAACTTCGTCAAGAGTATGGCGGCATATTCAGTCATCTCGTATCTTCTAAAGTTTAAGGATCGCCACAACGGAAACATCATGATTAACGACACTGGGCATATCATCCACATCGGTGAGTCAGCGGTGCTCCCCTCTAATGTAATGCCCCACTAACCCGGGTCCTAGATTTCGGGTTCTGTTTTGATATTGCCCCCGGCGGTATCACGTTCGAGCGTGCCCCGTTCAAGCTCACAACCGAGATGATATCCGTCATGGGCGGAAATACGGAGTCCCAGTCATACCTTCGGTTTGAGGAGTTGTGTATCAAGTCTTTCCTGGCTTGTCGGACATATGTCGATAAATTGACTCATTGTGTTGTATTGATGTTGGATAGCGGGTAGGCTCCCCCCCCCACAAACTTAATATATCAGAGTGTTGACCCCTCTCAACCCAGATTACCTTGCTTCAAGCCGGAGACAATACAAAATTTCAAGGACCGCTTTGTGTTGGATAAGAACGAGAGGGAGGCGGCAGACTTTATGAGGTATCTTGTCAAGAAGAGCTACGGCAGCTATTCCACGGTCCAGTACGATCGCTTCCAACACTTGACAAATGGCATTCCGTATTAAAAGATTCTTGAGACATGGGGGGGGGGCTGAGGAGGAGCGCCTTAGTCAGAAAATCACGTTCTTTACGCACCTTTCTTTTCTAGTCGTTGTTCATAGACACTGTAATTTTATTCCCCGCACCTTTTCCCACTCGTGAAGCTCGCTTTAGATGTCATAGCAATGTCCACACATACCATGCATGATCCAGATTCTAGGAGGTGCAAAGAGAGTTGGCACGGAACCCGCAAGATAGTGTTGGCTGTGACCCACGAGACAGCCAGCTAGCCACGCATTTCAGCCCTCAACCTCATTGAAGAAACCCAGCCACATGTGCCGTTCGGGGGAACTATCATACCTCATGTAGCACGGCGGTGGCTCATTCGGCTTAGAAACTGCGATGGTCCGCACAAGCACCATAATCGAGTACAAGAAATCCTCCAATGATACCAACCGGTACCCAACATTCCAACTTGAAGCAGGCACCTTTCGCCCACCTTTTTGTTGAGGCCTCCCGGGTTTGATTGGACTTGGAAAAAAGTTGTTTTTTTTCTTTTGCAGTCCATGCCACTTGGTCAGTTGTGGAATATGGACAAAACCAGCTTGGCCATACCTCCCTTAGAGGACAACGTTAAGAACTAGTATACGGATATTCATAGGTTCGTCAATAAGGATGCCGCTATAAAGATGCAATCACAAGGGTCTCACAGCGGACCGAAACCTATACCAGTGCTTGGAGGCTTCGTTAATCCTATCATTCTGTTTTTTTGGTTAAACAAATAGTTTATCTAAAAAGGCCTTGCTATCCTTATGAGGACTATTATGGATGTGGCTGGATTATGTAATATTAGTGGGATGATACAAGTACTGAGTTGCATGAAGACTCTCAACGAAGGTCTTGGTAATTTAATTGTGTAGGGCATTCTCAGTCAAATTATAAAAGGATATAGTAAATTTAAAATTAAAATAACTCGGCAACCAAAGTTTCAATTGATAATTTTCAGATTAGCCTTTACGCTGGCATATATATTAGAAGGAAAACAATAAAAATAGAATCCCAATATCATAATATTATGATACTCGTACTCGTACAGAGAGACATTCCGAGTATCGTAAGAACTGGAATAATTGAGAATGGCGCTAAGAGGTTAGTTTAAGGTGAGGCGCATGGAGAGACCCGAAGATTAGCGGATACAAGTGTCTCAAAACTTAAGACATGGAATAAAACTCAAATTTCTCAACCTCATCTCAAGTAGTCATAGCAATGAGTTGAAGAAAAGAGTCAACTTAAAGAGAAAAAAAAAAAAAAAAAAAAAGGCAGGCCAAGGGGATGGAATAATAATAAATAAATAGAAATATCTAATTTTATCAATATGAAGTAAGAAATCGAGATCACATACCTATATCCAAGCCAGATCCCAAATCCAAAAACATAAAACCTTTACCTAAAAATGTCTTCAATGCTAGCTGGAAGGACCAAAGTATGACCAGTTTTAAAACCTCTTCCCCCAACTGGATTTCATACTGGTGTGAAGAAGAAGCCTGGTCCAGTCAGAAAAAAAGATTGTCAAAAAACTGTGAGCTCCACCTGGGCCTGTCTAAAGCCCCTATCATTCCTATATTATTAGTTATAAGCTTTGAGTACTCTCATATTGGAAAACAGTATCAATACAAACGAGTCCAATCCAATTCCAAAAACCAACCCACTCTGAAGTTGTACGGCGATTCAAAATTCCTGGCACAAACCTTTACCAATGGAAGAAAGAAAAAGAGGAGGTGAAATATCGAAAACCTGGAAAAGTTCAGTATAGAATCTCAGTTGAGGGAAGAAAGAGGAAATGGGAAAAAATGGAGAGAAAACTTTACAATAGATTTTGTGTATGGCAAGTAGTGGGGGAGATTATTTGAAGAGGATAGTTTCGAAGAGTTAGCAAAGAAGTTTTTAAAACACCATATTCAGAAGAGGAACTTATCAGTTTTCCATTCTCAAATAGCTGGTTCCAGGCCTTCCTTTAATGGCATCATATCTCTCTTTGCTCCATAACTAATATATCCAGTCAGCTTCCAACTGATTTCAGTAATACAATTCTAAACTAGATGCGACCCAATTGAAGAAATTCTCAGCTTCGTCCCAACGACAATCATAAATTAGGAGACATACCTGCAGAGATCAGATAGTACAGCTTAGCCAATATCTACAATATGGATCAAATACCACTCTCTTTTGAGAATTTGAAAGGTTGAACTTACAACAATATTGGAGAATAAACTATCTGAACTCAAGCAAGTCAGTCAGGTTAGGATAAACAACAAGGAATAATTCAACTTAGTGTATTTGCTGATGGTATCTCCCATGTTAAGCCCTTATTTTTTTGTAAAGTTTAATTCAAAGGCATATGCCAATGAATCAAACTTCCTCGACTGGCTTAGCATTCATTATGGGTCTTATTTCCGACAAATGGAGCACCAAGAGCAGGTTATTGACTTCAAGTTAAAAAAAGAATTATCCAAATTGGGCTAAAACTGAGTGAGTTATAGCTTTTTGAAGTTCAACAACTTCAAATAACTCTATCTCTGTCAGTTTTGGTCCGATTTGGCTGATTTTTTACCCAATTAATGAGATTAACCGTGGTTATTTTGTCCCTGCTTCTGAGAAAAGGAGCCCCGTAATGAAGTCTAGACTAGCTTGAAGAACTGTTTGTACATGTTCTTGATAATCAGCCAACTATTCTCATCCTCAACCTTTTTGGCACCTACAAAACAGAGGAGGTACTTGATACTTTCCTTGCTAACAATATAACTGTTAGCCTAATTCTGGGAGGCTGTACCTCATTGGTACAGCCATTGGATATTAGCATTAATCGGCTATTTAAAGACATTTTAAAAGTATGAATATAACTTACTCATCTTCCTATTAAAGAAGGAAAGTGTCACAAACGTGGCTTGGCGCAGGAAAAGGTTTTCATATAACTCATGATTATGAGTCATAGGTATGTTATCGTTTCACGCATATGACTCATTTGGGTCGTATGACTTATTATGTTATGATTTGTTATATTTCACACATGACTCGATTATGAGTCATGGGACATGTGCTTGGCGAGTATGCCTTGTGAGTATGCCTTGTGCATACAATTTATGTTTTGCACATGACCTCGTTATAAGGTCATAGGTTTTGCGCATGTGACTATTTGGAGTCATATGACTTGTTTATTGCGTTATGATTGGTTTATGAGTTTTTGCACATGACTTTGCTACGAGGTCATGGGTTTTGGACATGTAATCACTTTGGTCATATGATTAGTTTGTTAGGATTTACTTTCACACATGTGACTACTTTAGGTTACATGATATAGGGCGGGAAGAGTACTATATAAGGAGGCCGGTACGGCTAAGGAGGATAGGCTCTTCATGCTTTGTTCTAAATACTATTCCTGGTTCTTGCTATCGCTTCGCCCCAAGCATTTCTTTAGCACCCATGATGGGCCTTGATGCCTTGGATTCTAGTAGAGATATCTGAGTTTGCTCAGTAGTTCCTGGAGTTCTTAGTATTGAGGTCTGTTGGCGTTACGTGGCGGATTACTTGTTTGCTTCTCATTTCGTTGCCTGCTGGTTATCTCACGATGCTAGCACTTCGAGCTACTCATCACAGTTGCTTATAAGCCCCTTTCAGTAAATTATCTTCGGCTACCTAGCTATCGTCTACTCGCAGGTTTCGTGTTCAATTGGAGGGAATGGAATATTAGGTTTGGGGGGATCACCCGTGTCATTCTTTGGGCCAGCTCATGGTTGTTGGATTTTAACAGAGTCCTTAGTTCTCACGATACAAAATGCCCTTGGGTTAGACTGATGACCTTCCCAAGTTCAACTCATCGTACCAGCCTGTTAGGAATACCAGAACCTAATACCTAAGAACCACCCTAAGTAGGGTAACTTCACTTGGAGTTGGAATCTCTGGTCTCCAACATCCTCCTCCGGCTCCCTTATGGGGCCCGCGCGTTATTATATATATCAATCTCAGTTGCGTCCTGTGACTATATTACCACAGAATTGAAGGTGTTAGAATAATACCATATACGTTGCCGCCATCCATCTGACCGGATCCTGTTCACAGGATATATGAGAGGGGACCTTTGGCTAGGTCTGGGAAGTGGAACGGAGTGATTATGTCAACTACTCAGAGGGTTACTTGGCTCCAAAGACATGATACCTTTGGCATGGGCCGTAAGTAATGGGACGATTTCGTACAAAGAAATGGTATCAAATGGTAAAGGATCTCTACTAGAGACCAATATATTTACATCCACCTGAAGAGTCTAGAACTCCAAAAGACACTGCCAAAGAAGCCAATGAACTTCACAGAGTGTTGCAACTGGGTTTCGGAACACGTCGCAATCATAGGGTAATTTTCAATACTACAATGGTTACTGAAACCTACTACCCAGAGAGCAACCAAGGGTTGCTGACCGAGGGATTAATTACCAATCTGGTGGAATAGCTTCCTGCGAGTTGATAGGAAGTCATCCAGAGAAAATCTATTTGTTGGGTATGGAGTTACAAAGGATCGGAGTCAGATGACCTACAATGGTTGTAATGACGACCACCTTTGCAGATATAGCCGTGAATGAAACTGATCATTTTATCAATGGCGAAGACAATTGGAGCCAACTCAGTTCGACTTAAGAACTAGGCCATAAGTCTAAAGACTCTGCTAATCGGGATCTTACCGTTGGAGACAGTACGTTTCCTAAGAAATATCATAATTACCGAAGAGGGTGTGATGGTTTTCAGGGTCCACAGGTGTTCGCACCTTGGAAGAAAACTCGACGTTGTGAATTACAATTAAAGAAGTACATAGTTGTATGATAAATAGATGTAGTCCGCGAATACTCAGATACGGAATATAAATATTGAAGTGCCTCCCAAGCTTTAGACATCATCAAGTAATGGAGAAGAGACCTTAACAATATAATATTGTTTTTACGATTCTACCCTACTTTACCTACTTTACTTCACTCCTAGTAGTCATAAATAAAACGAGCCAAGTCTGAGCCTTCCTAGACAATCTCCGTCTACAAAAACAAATCTCAATTGGCCTAGACAATCTTGAAGTCTATCAAGTTGTCTCCGCCTAACACAGCTACATTATTCCTCAGGTGGCAGGGCAGTGCCTGCCCAGCCCCTCCCTGTTACGTTTTTATTTTGATGGTCAGAATCTTACAATGTTGTTTATTACTATTCCCTTAGAGTTTTTATCCTTACGGCATTTACAGTGGTTCAGTCAGGTATCTCCTCCTCGCCTTAGTGGAGATGACTTTGACCCTGAAAATTCTTACCCCCTGGTATGGTTATTGTTGCTGCCTGGAGTGGTGTGTGATGATTGGCTACCAGATATTTGTGTTGTCTGTGCGTTTGGGTAGTTCGGTTGTAGATTGTGGTTGGCAGCTTTACCCATTGCAATTGGGGCCTACCTTCTATTTGTCTGCTTCTTGTAACCAGTACGGGTACTTGGTTATTGGTTTTGTTTTATGTTTTGTTTTAAGTATCGCTTTGATACTTGGTTTGTTTTAAGTATTGTTTAATACTTGGTTTTGTTTTATGTTTTGTTTTAAGTATCGCTTTGATACTTGGTTTGTTTTAAGTATTGTTTGATACTTGGTTTTGTTTTATGTTTTGTTTTAAGTATCGCTTTGATACTTAAGGAGTTTTACCAAAGTGTATCAATTGATACCTTTGATTAGTTTTGTTCATGCTAGACATGAACAGATTTGTGTATTTAAAGACCGCCTGTTTCCATGATAGAAAAGGCAGACTTCGACAGACAGTATTTCAATATACTTAGTTGAACGGTTACTTCTTTGTTCCCCAGTACCCCTCGAAGCCTCCTTTAGTTCTCAGCTCTCGCCTCCTTTCTGGAAGAGCAAGCCACCTGCCAACTATCATATATATTACCGATAACGTGATTAGCACCCTGCGAACACGTTACACTTCTGTTCGTTTACCCTTCCTCCTTCATGTCGGGTCGGTTGGGGGGTGTCTCTAACCTATTGTTCGGTCTGTACCTGTTGCTGGACCTGTGGGGCTGGCTTTGACTGGCTCTTCCTACTCTTTCCTGGCTTGGTTGGACTTCAATTCAACTGGGATGAATGCTGTGGCTGGTGCCAGTGCCTTCGGGTGTTGGTGCTGCCTACTTTGCGGCTCTCAGCTGTGGCTGGTAGGTCCCCCTCGGCTGCAAGGTGCTGGAGGATGGGGCTCTGTTAGTGTGGCCAAGACCAGTGGCTACCTGATGGGGCTAGGTATGGGCTGTCCTGTAGCTATTAGATGGTTGATCTGTTGGAGGGGCTGGAGGGCTGGATGGGCTCTGTGGCATCTGGCATGTGGGGCTTGGGAGGGACTGATTGGAGGAGGAGAGGCACCTGCAAGCACCGGTCAGGCCTGCATCAGGTTGGACGAGGTCTAATTAAGTGTTTCTAGTCTGGCTTGGGCTGTTGGGTGAAGCTACTGAATGATGTAAAGCTTCCCGACGGACCGGCTGGCTGATGGCCACCTGTGCGGATAGTGGGTTGCGACCACCTGGTTAGACTTGTTTGGGTCTTATGCACTGGACCTTGTGGGGTTTGTTTGGTTTCTTTGGTTTGGCTACGAGTTTGGTGGGAGGAGGCATGGTACCACAGATGGAAGATAGGCTCTACTGACCTTTCTTGGTCTGTTACTACCTCTATGTATTTCTTATGTTTGTTGTTTTAGTTGGAAGACAGGTAGCGGGTACAGGTCCTTCTCACCAGTACGCTCTTCGGAGGCAACCGGCAATGTGGGTTCATAGGGTCGACCGCCTGGCATGCGGGTGCGAGAGGTAGACACCTTAGTTGTCTCCTCCCTGCCATTGTGTCGCTTGTAGGTTTAGTTTGTATATTTGTTAGTTTTTTATTGTGGTGGACATTTTGCAAGATGGTTTTCAGACCAGGTGGTAGTGATTTTATGTTTGTTGGGCGAGGCCTGGTCGGGTTGGTCTTTTGCTCGACTTCGGCTATACTTAGTACTGGTTGGCTTCATACCAGAGGGGCTAGGAACTTGGACCAGAGAGAGTGCTCAGTTGTTTAATGGTCTTGTAATTAGTTCTCGTGCAGGCATGACTCAGGGATGGCAGGTGTGGGGCCATAGACTTAGTTAGCTTAGGATTAGTGGTATACCGGTTAGCGGTATCGCTGTGCTAGCGGAGGCTCATTGTATGTTAGTGTTGGCAGTATGAGTTTAAATAAAATTAGATTAAATTCTAAGTACTTTTCCTACTTATTACTTTAACAAATATAAAACACCTTTACGATCTTTATCTTTATTGAAATGGTTATAGTTATGTTAAGGAAAGCTTTTCATGAAGAAGTGTTAGAAAAAGCTTACAATAGTCGTTCCTGATAGAAGACAAAGGTCTTGTACTATTGGTAACGTAGGCAGAGGTCTAGTACTATTGTAAGACTAAAGAAAGAAAAAGAAGAAGAAGAGAAGTATTGTTCCCCGTCGCCAAGAACTAACTATCTGAGGAGGAATCATTACAGAAAGAAGAAGAAAACTTATACTAATACAATTACAATGTAAGCAGGAGATTATCAATGAAAAATTAGATGAAATAGAAGAGGAGGAAGAGCCTCTACTTACTTCAGAGAAGAAATTAGTAGGAAGCATGATAAGAAGGTGACAGGTACTCACCACCTAGGCAGTGGGAGAGGCATGGGAGATCTTTACCCAGGAGCGGGTAGAAGTAATAAAAAAATCCTTTTGTATTCTTGGATTAGCATTGCCTATTGATGGAAGTCATGATAATGAAATCAGTGTAAAGGGATTAGATAGTACTTACCTTATTGAGAGATTGAAGGAGTGGGGGAGAGGAAATGGGAGTTCTCCGGGCCTAGATCATGATCCTATTGAGTTAGCTGAAGAAGTTGATGATGAGGAGGAAAATGTATGCTATGAAGAATATTGTTAGTGTTAGGTAAAACTATATTGCGCCATAATCCTGGCTTGACTCACCTTTAATTTGACCTCTTAGCACCATTCTCAATTATTCCAGTTCTTACGTTGCTGAGAGTTCAATCCCTGTTTCCGCCAATCCGCATCTGTAACTTTTGCACAGCCACAGCCACCTTCCCACAAGGCGCCACATTTACACGTCACTTCTATTTGGCAATTATCTTGGGGCAGAAGCTGCACATGCAACTCTTGACCTGGTCACTCGTGCCCACTTAACCTGTTATCATACTAAATTTAGGGCAGTTCGCTGTCTGTCCTCTGCAAAGCCCTTTGCACAAGGACATCTGGCATCTAAAGTTAACTTAAACTACCTCCAACCTTATCCCACTCTGAGCCATTTCAAATTCTACATTATCCAGATTGCTTCCAACTTCCCCGCTCGGAATAGCAAACATCCGCCGCTTCCACCCTCATCGCCTTTACCCTTGCAGGCAGCTCTGCCCGTTGCTCATTCACGATGTCTGGTAAGTTGTTGAGCCTGATAACATACCTTATCGACCGGCCCGCTAACCATCATGACAGTGGACTACTGTATGAAAGTCAGAAACCGTCCTAACCCCATCCATAGCTAACCCCAGACAGACGCAGCCCTGGAGGTCTCCCCCCAAGCAAGCCAGCAAGAAATCCGTGAAGCCTACAAGAAGTAACCACTCCTTCCCCCCTTCCTTTCCACGGCCAACCCAATCTAACCGTCCAACACGACAAACAGAGCAGCCCTGAAAAACCACCCGGACCGAGTCTCCCACGATGACCCCTCCCGCGCAGCCCGCACCCGAAAGTTCCAACAAATCAACGACGCATACTACACCCTCAGCGACCCCCAGCGACGCCGGGACTACGACTCGACCCGCACTTACCAGAGCTCCTCCTCCTACGCCAACCCCCAGCACGCGCAGAGCGACTGGCAGGACGACCAATTCGGCGACATCTTCGAGGAGATGATGCGCGACGAGGGTTTCGCCGAGGGCACGGGCGAGCGCACCACGCCCAACGGCAAATTCTGGGGCATCCTCGGTGGCCTATCCGGTGGCGTTATGGGGTTCATCGTGGCCAACGTGCCCGGCATGCTCGCCGGCGCCGTCGCGGGCAATAGGCTGGGCGCGGTCAGGGATTCCAAGGGGAAGAGCGTTTACGAGGTCTTCCAGGAGCTGCCTCAGAGTGATCGTGCGAAGGTGGGTGCCAGAATCTTGCTCTCGGCGACGATTATTGGCGGCGCCATCGCTGTAGCGGGGCTGAGGGGAAGGCTGACGAAGGCGGCGGCGGTGATTAGTTGCTTAGTGATTTGGCCGCCAAGGTGTTGGCGCACGCTGTTAGCGGTTAGGTGGAACTTTAGGTTTTCGAGGTCAAGGAGAGATGATGATGATGGTGATGATGATGACGATGGTCTGTGATGGCTTTTCCGGGAGTTTGTTGGTTGGTCGCATGAGGAAGTCTTCGATAAATGATTTTTATGATGGGAACGGCGTTATTTGATTTTTACATGTGTCTTTGCTTCGACTCTCCAGTGGTCCCGGTAGCGGTAGCGGTACTATTGGCATTATGACCTTATCTATACGCTAATATACCCAGATGAAGTGATAATCCATGATCCCCATTAATTACCGTAATTCAACCAACCAACAAGTTTCCAGGAAGAAAACAAAGAAATAAAAAGACCAACCACCAAAATTCATCACCCAGAATCACTCACTCATTCACTCACCATAACCCCCCCCCCCCCGGCCACCCATACGAGTACAGTATTGTACATGCCTGCAACCACCACCACCACCAACCAACCCCTCCTCTCTCATTGGGAGGCGGGGGGGAGAAGAATACGAACAAGTCCGGCGTTGGAAATTACGGGAAACCCCCTAGAGTGGGACCATCTCGTTAGGGAAATTAGTTTAATACGGCCATCCATCTAACGTTTCGAAGAGTACGGACGATACCCGCAGTTTTAAGTTACGGGTGCCATGTTAACGAACGAACGAACGAAAGCGACCGACCGACCGACCGATAAACAAACAAACAAACAAACAAACAAGCGAAATGTTAACGGGTAGGTCGCCCCCGGGGTTCTCCTGCTGTGCGGTATGGTTAAGGTAAAAGATATTTGTATATACGTTCCTTTCGGGAAAAACCAATTAGCTTGGTAAGTGTGTAAAAAAAAAAAAAAAAAAACCCCGAATTCGAATTGCACTGCTTGCTATGTATCACAGAGTTCGAAACCACCCCTTTTCCCTACCTTCTTTCCTTTCCTTCCTTCCCCGGAAGGAAGGAAAGAAAGAAAGAAAGAAAGAAAGAAGGAAAAGGGGGGGCAGAAGGAACGTTGCGAGAAAAGGAAGAAAACCCCCCCCCTTTCGCCCACCCCCTTTCTAAGACGGATACGGTATTTTTTTTCTTATTCTTTTCGAATGACCTTTTAAGTAAGAGCTAAAAGCCCAAGGACATTGGTCTAATTACTCGTACTTGTAGCATGCTATCTAATTATTCGTTGAAAATAGAAAATACGGTAATGTGCAAAAGCAAGAGTGCTGTCATACTACCGGTACTTGGACAGTGTGCGGAACATTCCTGTGGACACACTCCATCGTGACACAAAAATTCAGGTGGGTTTTACAGAAATTGTCTACACCCATTCGCCATCAGGCTCAATGAACAGAGCAAGTAGAGTCACCAACTTCGCCGCTAGTGCCGGTACTTGTGCTTGCACACAATGTTCGTACCACCAAAACCTCAGCCGGACCTCTCAATCATCCAGGGTGAGAGTACAGGCCAAAAACAAAAGGGGCATTCCAGGCAATTGGAGAAGAGCCAAAGGATCGATTCTCATACTTTACATTAAAAACCCACTTTAAGAAATAACGTCCTTAAACCCATTCCTTCCCAAGCATTAACACACACCCAACTGTCCCAACCCAAGCCAACCATTCGTCCGTTCATGTAAATTAAAAAAGTCTTACAAAGCCAACAAACCAGCGAAGATGGCGGCGATAGCGAAGCCACCTGGAACGAGCCCAGCAGCTCCACCGGTTTCACTTGTAGAGGTGGCCGAGCCGGAGCTCCCGCCGGGACCGCCTCCGCTGGTAGTCTTGGTGCTATTATTTCCAGAGCCGGAGCTGGTGGTGTTACCGGTTGGGTTGGCTTGGATGGAGGAGACGGCGCCGCTGGGGAGGTTGGTACCGCAAAGTCCCTGGGCGACGGATATTGCCTCTGTTCCCAACCATCTTTAATGACTTCCTTCACCGCCGAAAGGAAAGACCTAGGAGGGGAAGGGCTTACTCTGGATATCCTGGGGCTCGGTGCAGGCAGCCCTGAGACAATTGGAAACGTCACTGATGAACTTCTCGTTCCTGCAGGCGCAGGGTATATTGCCAGCTTGGCAGCCAGTGCCAGTGCCAGATACGGCGTCCCCGGCGCATGGCAACTAACATCAAGGTTTGTGTCAATGACAGACAATCCTTCTCCCCGAGCACATGAGGGAGAAACCTACTGCACATGAGGGCAAGTCCGACAAACTAGGGACTTCGGTCTGGGCAGCGACCAAGAGGGCGGCACCGAGGATAGAGGCGATGATTGAGGTCTTCATTCTTATCGAGGGATTGGAAAGTGAAGTGAAACAAACTACGACGGTTGGCAACGGCGGTGAGTGAATGAGCGAGTGAGTGAGTGCAATAATGGGAGTGAAAATGAAGGGTATTAAAACGGGTAAGATAAGTAAGTGGGGAAACTTTGGGGGTGGGAGGATACATCAGGGTATTTATCTATTCCTTTCCTCCCTCTATCCCTTTCCATTTCTACCCCTTGTTGCCCCCCCCCCCTCTTCCCGGTCGGGTATGGGATGGGTGGGTTAGAAACGCGGCTGGGTGCAGATGGCTGAGAAGAGTGCTACCGTACTCGAGTAAATTGGGACCCTTCGCTGCTTACTCGTACTTGTGCGAGTACGGTGCTCCATCACAAGGTGGGAGAAGGGACGGATTGATGTGTGGAGGCTTGAAGGTTATGCTTTGTGTTATGGCGCTCGAGTATCATATTACCGGTATTACCGGTACATCGTAACTGGAGTTCACCGGGTCAGTTTACTTTGTTTTTACTTTTTCTCTTCTTTTTCTTTTTACTTTTTTCTTGCCTTTGCTGTCTCAGCGCCCCCTTGAGGAGGGAGGGAGGGAATGATGGATGGAGGAACAAATTGGACTTGTGTGAGTAAATCCACATTAGGCTAGTTTGGTGGTAGGGAAATTACGGTTTAGATTTCGGAAGGTCTTGTTTGGCACAAGTAGCAAGAGGCTCCGAGCAGGAGATTGGGGTGATTTGCACTGACTTACCAGTATCGTACTCGAGGACGGTACTCGAGTACTGACTGGTGCTGTAGCAGAGTGCTTGAACCGGTACCCTATTAGTTACTCGTACTTGCTTGAGGATGCAGCACCATCGACAACGGTTGGGGTGTGGGAATGGCGAATGAGGCCCGATGTGTGTCTCCCACTTGTATGGTATCATAGCAGTCGTACTCGTAGCTTGGCCACCGCCGCAATCTTCTCCAGTCTCAAGCTCAGACAATGTCCGCGTCACTTCCCCATAATTCAGTGCTCGAGCAGATTGGCATTCAGCCCCGGATCGAGAAAGCGTTTTTTTCGATTGCCAAGTTTTGCGGATCCACCAGATTTGTATGCACTCAGCATGCAAAAAAGTCCTTAAGCCCGAAGTATACTCGAGTACTGTAGTACCGTACTCGCATGAAACCCTTTTTTTCTTTTAACCTAGGGGCTGAATGCATCGGTTGAAAACCCCCTTAAACCCCTTCTCCCCTTCCTTACGAGCACTGTGCTCGTACGAGTGCGGTACCGGTGCTCGAGTTCTGTACTCGAGTGCTACTATAAGTACGAGCACAGTACCGGTAGAGTGCCCTTCCCTTCCTTGAAACGAGGCTATGAAGATTATCATACTCTTGTTACGCATGAATCAACGTGATCCCCACTGTTTATTTATATCACCGTCACAAGCGTCACAAGCGTCGAGAACCTCCAGCCATGTAGCTTACACTTGTAGATGCCAATATTGCTGTGTTGTGCTCGTAGCTGCCGTAGCATGCGCAGTACAGTACATTCGCCCAGCTCGGTGAATGATGATGAGCAAGCAGGGCGGTTAGTCAATTGATTAATTAACTGATCAACACGACCACCGGGTGCGACAAAGCACAGTTCTGATCCGCGATGGTGATCGTGGATTACGAGTAGTGGAATGCTGCACTGCACCGCCCCCCGCCGGCCAACAGCGTGGCTAGCCGGCTCATCCTTGTTTCTTCAACCCATCTTCACTTTGTCAGCTCAACCTTCCCAATTTTTTGCTCGACGCCGCGGTACCGGTAGGGGTACTGTACTCGTACTAGTACTCGAGTACACGTATGGACTTTGGTGATGGGAGAGCTAGGGGTTAGGACCAAATGCATCAAAGCTTCTTTCTTGTTTGATTTCCTATGAGAGATGGGAGGGGTAATCGTACACTATCATACTCGCGTAGCGTTCGTGGGGGATCGGAGGGGTGGCGCTTATCCTCGTACCATCTTTACTCTCGTTAGGAGAATCCACTACCTATCGATAAGCAAGACCCTACTCGAGTACGGTACCCTCGTACCCACCGGTGCCGCCACACATTCTGAGCAGGCTCTCGCGTGGTGAGATTCTGATGCTGTGTGCTCTTACCTTCCTCCCTGCTCCCAAGCAATTTACGGGTACTGTACAGTACCAGTGGTCCGACGATGGTTGCCATCGATGCAGATTTGGATACCCCACCGACACTCCGCGGGCAAGACTCCCAAAATGATTGTTCGGTTCATTAAGCAGCGTCTCATTTAAGAAGGCGCGCTGGTGCTCAACTCGGAGTGCATACCACACTCACGCATCCCAGACTAATAAGTAAAAATTAGCCTCACCCGCAAAACCGGCTCACTCGAAACTCCTGGAAGCCCTTCGGAAGCTCTAAAATTCGCATTCCGGAGAAAGGTAACTTAGACAGATATCAGTGCGACTAGTATGGGTACTCGAGTACCGTATCTGGTTTCTACATCACCCGACTACTAATTTACCGGCATCACCCTGTTCTCATGATATATCGGTATATACCCCAGCACTCGAGATACTTGCGCGCGAATTGGGCCTTTATGATCAATGAAAAGACACCGAAATCCAAGGTTCCTTGCATCTTAACCTTGTTTACGTCCGGGTGTGGCACGCGGCCGGCGTTCGGGGGGGGAGGGGGAGGGGAAGGGCTGGATTGTCTGCTGAATAACGATAATTAGGGAGTTGGGCGCGGTATGGTACGATACCAGTAGGGGAAAGGCATTTGAGAGACAATGATGATTGGTATGATAGAAGTGGTTATGACAATTTTCGGCCGAGAACGTAAACCACTAGGGCTCGAGGTGGCCCACTCCGATACAGGTCTGTCTGTCGCTATCAAAGTAGGCAAATTTCCTCAAAAGCTCCAGACCGCGCGATCGTCCGATCACATACGGTACTGGTACAATACAGTACTTGTACCGTATCCCTGTCCGTCGCGTGACAGTTTTCGTCGCCATTCACCATCTCAATACACGGTGAGCACATTTCCGGAAAAATGGGAATATCCCAAGTCCTGGTGGACTTAGAAAGGTCTTTTTGAAGTTTTTGTACTTTGCTCGTAAGAGCAACGGGTTGTTCAACTTTGGTTTCCTTGGCACTAAATCGGTGATATCATACAAGTACTGTACCAAGATATTGGCTTGCATTGAGCTGCCGTATTGTACTAGTACTCCAGTACCGGTATTGGTGAACTGAGTACGAGTACTCGTATCACAAAGGTCCCTCGCCGTTGACCCGCTGTACTTTTCGGCCCGTTTGTCCGGGAGGCCAAGGGGGGTGATTTGGTGCCCACTGGGGTATTATGATATCATCTGCCGCGCAGCTCTAGTGAAACGGAGGTTAGCTTACCTCAGTGGAAATACCGTACCGGTAGTCAAGGCATCGATGAAGCACGCATATCATACATATCATAAAATCTTGCGATACAGTGCCATTGGAAGATGGGACGCCCAAATCCGCACCACTACTCGAATAGGGCAACTGTCGGACCAAACTGCTCTGCCCATACAGGGGGGTCCAAGAATAAGCGACGGAATTTCTCTGTGCAATGTTCATCACCGGTAAGCTGTGGTTTGACGATTCTCACCCCCGGGGCAAGGAGAGACTTTTTTCCCCAGAGTCAGCGCAAGTTACGGTTGTGTCGGGTTTTGGCGATTTTCCTGTCTGGAAGTTTTCTACTTGGGAGGGGGGCGCGTCGTGATACTGCAATTGAGTTTTTGTAAAAGGGCAGAAGGTTCTGCTGCTCTCTGGTTGGAGGGTGCCGGTACCGAGTGGTTCATAGTACTGGTACTATTCGAGCGGACGGTTTCGGGAAGAGTCCTTCGGAAAGGATTTATCAGTCCCCATACGGCATTGGGCGAGCTGCCATACCGTTGATAACATTGGATATATCCATCCTGGCAAATAGAGAAAAGGCATTCAGCCCCGGCATCACAAAAAGGGCCGAGTTTCGGGTTGTTCCGTCTAAAAAAGAAAGGGGGGAGAGGAGGGAAAGGGTCTTCCAACTTGAATACCGGTACTCGAGTACCGGTATCATAAATCGTTCCCAATCCCGGGACTGAATGCCGCTTCCAAAACCGTTCGCGGAATTGCGCCACTTTTACCGGCATCATACCCACCAGTTTGTGATCGGCAAATGCCGGTAATTTATCATAGGTTGGGCTTGTTGTGTCAGCAAAGACCCGATTCATTAGTGGGTCTTGGTGTTCTCGATGCATGGACAAAGACGGCGAGATCAGTCTTCGCGTTACCAATCATATCAGAAGTGACAGTTCATTGGAAATGTTCACGGTCCGACTCTGGTACCGTACCGTATTCCAGCACTCCACGCTTTTCATGTAGTCTACTCGAGTACAGTAAGTGCCCTATTGTCTGGGGATGAGCATTGTGCTGTTTCCTGTCCTGCAGAGCTGCGTGTATTCTAGAGCACCGGTATGATACCTGCACCCTGAGGGGAAAAGAATAATAATAAAAGACAAGTGATAATAATAATAAGGGCATGAGTGAAAGTGCCCAATACTATTCGCCCCACCGGTAATTTTGGTACTGACCGCGCCGAAAGCCCATGTTAAGCACTCCTAGTGAGTTCTTTTCCAACAAATCATAAGAAACCAAAACCTTCCGCACCGCACTATCACCTCCAACACCTAACATTTCGGAGCACGGGAAATTTGCTGTTTCACCTTGCGCACCAACATACGGTTCGCTAACCTACCCTTTTTCTGCCTTGCTCTATTTTCTTTTTGTTTTCTTTTTGTTTTCTTTTTTTCCTCAGAAGATCTCGCCTCATCCTGGCCACTCTAGGAAGAAAAGAAAAAGAAGACAGAAACCATGGGCCTCTTGATTCTGGAACCGACGAAGCGGGAGGGTGATGATCATGTTCCCGGTAGGCCTCATCACTGCATCCACGAGGGCGCGTGTGGGGTATGCTAATGAGGATTTAGGCACCGCGTTCATTGGCGCTGGAGGGGCCGCGGATTGTGTGACTACTGTGACTGGAGAGCTGGATCCCAACCTGAAGTATGACTTGACAGGTGATGTTCCGATAGTTCTCGTTCCCCAGCCTTCCGATGATCCGAATGACCCGTTGGTAGGTTTCCATTTTTTTTGATCAATAGATTTGGTAGTGACTAGAGTGAGTGTGTTGGGAATGCTGATGGGGATGGAGTAGAATTGGCCGTTGTGGGAAAGGGATTTGATCACGTTTATTCTTTGCTTGGTTTCTGTAAGTTTGCTCCTTGCTCAAGTCACTTTCTTATACTCGAGTATCATACTACGCTCAGCCCCATTACCTTAGTAAGGTTTGGCCTCCTGGTATGATACCGGTACCCTGTTATGGCAATACTAACTGATGACAACCGCATAGGTCATGGCTGCTACGTAAGTTATTTGTAAGCTCTTGGGGTTTTATGGCATGAGAAGATACTGATATGATAACCCATAAGACTCGGCCCTATCCTTGCGCCAAGCACTGTTCTCTTTGCGGGGCACTTTAGGCGTGACTTTACTGATATTGCCCTTTTGACGGGCTATCACCTCTGTGGTGTTGGTGTCGCTGGGCTGTTGTTTGTTGCGTCCGCGAGGGTCTATGGAAAGCGCCACTTGTACCTATTAGGTACGGTATTGTTGATTGTGTCTTCCGCTTGGGGTGGCTTAGCATCGAGTTATAAGTCCTTTCTCTGGGCGAGAATTCTCCAGGGTGTGGCGGTTTGTCCATTCGAAACTTTGGTGAACATTACCGTTGGCGAGATGTATTGTGTGCATGTAAGTTCCTCCCTGACAAAACTGGGCGGAAGAGAGAGCTTTGTGCAAGATTAGCAGCTGGCCGACTAACCATGTTTGTATAGCAACTTGGAAAGCGTATGGCCTTGGCAAACTTTTCTCTGTTTGGAGGCGCCTTTTTGACGCCAGTCATCGTGGGCAAGATTACTGGGGAATTAGGGTGGCAGTGGCCGTTCTTCCTTGTCGCAATAATCACTGGGGTTATGTTGCCTTTGGTTAGCATTCCCGTTCCGAACAGATGTGTAAGAGATCGAGCTGATGGGTTGGACTATTAGGTAGTATTCTGGGTCCCGGAAACCACCTACAACCGCCCAGCACATAGTACATTATCCAACCAAGGTGAGCAGTGTTCGGGGTTGGATTCAATAAAAAATGACCTCCGGCTACAAGATCCATCAAACCAATTGATAGATAGTAGGTTGATACTAATACAAAATCACCAGCCCCTCGCCAGTATACATCCACGGTCCCGAGACACTCCTTTCTACAGCGGATGTACCTCTTCAATGGCCGGAAGACATCGGAGTCACCCTTGAAGCTCTTCCTCCGCCCAATTGTGCTTCTCCTTCACCCAGCTGTGATGTGGGGTATGCTTACACAAGGGGTAATGATCGGATGGACCGTCATGATTGGCGTTGTCCTTGCTGCTGTGGTATGTGCTCTCCGTACCCTACCCCTAGGTTCCTGTGCTAGAAATTAACCCTGCTAGTTCATATTTCCCCCTCTTTCATTCACTGAGGTTGAAACTGGCTACATGTATACCGGCGCTTTTATTGGTTCCCTGGCTGGTTTGGCCATCACTGGTCCATTAGCGGATTGGTCTGCCAAGTACCTCTCTAGAATGAACAAGGGAATCTATGAGCCGGAATTTCGCCTGTACTTAGTGATCCCACAAGCGGTTACGGGCTGCCTTGGTCTCTTCCCTCTTACCCTTTTAGTTTTTGTCGGGCGAAAATCATTCTAACAGCGGATGTGTGAATATAGGGCTCTACATGTTTGGCGTCACCTCCTCCAACACTACGAAGTACGGCTGGTTTTGGCCGGACTTTTTCTTTGCACTCGAGTTCGTTCCCCGCCCCGTCCTTTCCTTCACATTGCTTTCCAAGGTGGCCCCAATAGAGAAAAGGGGATAAACTAACGGACTTAGGTTGATGGGTATGACAATGGGTGCGGTAACATCAGCGCTCTATCTTGTCGACGCATACCCGGGCATTGCCATAGAGAGCTTCACATGCCTGCTACTCTTCAAAAATTTCTTCTCCTTTGGGCTAACTTGGGAAGCCTTCAACTGGCTACGCGAGGCGGGAACTAAGGAATTGTTCATCTACGTTGCTTCCGTCCAGGTGGCTATTTGTTCCCTTACCCTACCCATGTGTATGTTTTACTCCCCTCCCCTCTCCCCTTCTCTTGACTGACTGATAGGCGTGGCTAATGAGATGTAGACTTTTTTGGGAAGATCACTAGGGATTTCATGCACAGGCATGACATCCTGAAGATGGTGGGTCTGGGCATTGAAGAGACAGGGGGAGGGCCAGGACAGGAGGGGCCGGGAATCGTGATGGGTGAGGCGGGGCGTAGATAGGGGCAATGGGGGGGGATTTACTTGTAGGTAGAATATCTTGCCCTCCTTCGTCAGCGGCGCTACCCTTTCGTCCTTTCCGTAAACGGCTCGTAATTCCCATGCAAGAGTGCTTGTTGGTTGGTCCGGAGAATAACTGTATTTGTACTATACTTGATGTTGGTCTTTTTTCTCTAGGGGCCTAGCCCGCCAGGTAAACGTAACTTAGAACTGTCCACGGGAAGAAATAATATTGGAGGAATGCATGAAGGACAGCACTCGGGAGATAGCAACATGAGTGTTTCGCGCTCGACAACAACCACCGATCGAGAGATGTACTGTACCCCCGCCGGCACATCACCCACGGCACAAGACGCCCGGATTTCGGGTATCATATCCCCGGACAGTACAATACAAAGTGCGTTTTCACAGTATTTATCCATCACTCGATTGTTCCGGGAGGGTCCCTCAACAGCGACGAACGAACGAACCGGATCAGTAGCGAACGCAGGGGCCATTGGTTAGATGGAAGAAATAGTGATGCGATGATGATGCCTTCCTTCCATCATCGGGCGGTTCACAATACGGTAGCAGTATACTTTTTGTCAGTCTGCACAGGTACCCCCCATCCCCACCCGATTCGTTGTGAGGGGTACAGGTAAGGTGGGCTACGGTGCAGTACTAGACAGCGCCGACAGCGGGATGTACAGTACCGTACAATAAGCTCCTATAATATGATACTGTCCGAGACGGCGACTTATTGTGTAGATAGTGATCACCTGTACTGTACTCGTACTGTACTGTGCTCATACACCGCTCACCACCTTACCTAGTCTACCACACGGTCGTGCCCGGAAAGTCTTCGCACGCCTGATCAAGGCAATCGAGTGAGCAGTAATGAACATGATGTCTACAAATAAACGGATTTTATTTAGAGACATATCGTGGTGAGATATAGGTTAAGCTGTAGGGAGTATCCTTGGGAATTATCATACAATTTTATCATCGAGTACGGTTTTCAGACGTTGCTTTGTCCTATCAATATGCTAGTAGAAGATTGATGTTGAACTTGATGTGTTGGAATAATGTGGTGAAAAATAGAGAAAATGAAAAAGACTAGTCAATTGTGATAGAACTTTTAACTCATAACCATGGTATCTCATATATCAATTTTTTCAAAATTGCATGAGCAGGTATAGGGTGAATTCTATTAACCTGTGAAAGCCTATCAGGCTTGGTAAATTCCTATAGGCTGGACCCTTGGTACTGAAAAACTGTTACAATAGAAACCAGGATGTCGGGTTCTGGAAAAGTGTCTGAACACTGCATATTTGATTGGATTCTTTTCATTTGTATTTCTTCCGTTCTCTTAATGGTCAGATGAGAGATTCAGATTTGGTAAACTGATGAGAATCTGTAAGAGTGCTGGTAGCTTGCATTATTTTTCAACTTCTCTTTTCTACAAGAAATAAAATCTTTGAAACAGGATCTACTACTCGACTGCCAGCGAGTAATAATGCCTGGAGAGAATCCACAGGCCAGATGAAAACTTGGTAGAACAAAAGTGAGGTTGAACAGACGTTAATGATAAACGGGAAGCAAACATCTGGCTAAGTGGGCTCTAAAAGGCAGGTAGTACAAAGCCTATACAGCCTGTAAGCAGGCCGGGCGGGGCCTGGCTTATATACAGTACCTGGAGTCCTATGGGTCACGGTCCCGGCCAGGCTAGATCCTCAAGAATTCCTGTAGGCTGGACCCTGCTTTCATTCGGCCTAGCCTACGTGGCCCGTTGGGAACACTGGGTGTAGGACAGGGCATGGGATGGTTGTGATACCGGTCCCCTCGCTGGGGTAGAGAGGAGGGATAGTGGTAGTGAAGTTGTTTTCATTTACTGTGGAATGTTGAGTTGGGGTTACCCTAGCCATTGGATTAGATAGCATTCGTAGCTAAGATATGTTTGAGTGGAGGATTTGTCATTCGGTACCATGCTATCCCACCATACTCGAACTTGTGCTATTCAGGAGGGAGCCCTTACATTGCAGAGGGATCCCCAATACAATTACGGATAACTGACCCACCAGCGGACTCCGCACCATGGGAAGAAGGCAAGTAACCTTCCAGCTAAGATTACCACCAGAGAGTGGGATGAGAGCCAACCCGGAAGACACAGTTCTCGGGAAAGAGCTCTCCCACAGAGAAATATCCTTTGGTATCCGTAGCTTCGTGGAAGGCAGGACTACCTTACGCATGTGGATGTGGTGCAGCTATCGAAATCGAAATATTGTCCCGGGAGAGGAGCAGCCAAGTTAGGTGGGTAACAATGTAGCATACCACGGGCCCGAAAGGCACATTTTCGCAGTCCGGTGAAGATATGGAGCAGTGCCACTATCTCAGGGACGCCCTGGTTTAAACTATGACTTAATACGGTACCAGTACAAGATCGTGGGGTCTGCATCAGAGCTACTGCGTAACCAGCACGAGAATCAGCCGAGAAAGAAAGAATCCAAGACAAACACTGCTCAGCCAGCTTGGGATTTATGCGAATCGACCGAATGGAATATTCACCTCGGGAGCCTGAATAGCCAAGACTTCGTACAACTCACCACAATAGTGTTTGTAGCATGACTTACCTTACCTTTCTAGGTGGTAAGCATTACCCTACGACCTCCACATTCCTTTCATATTTGGAAACGTACATTCTTGAATTCTCATATGGGGGTGTTTGGGTTCAACTATGTCCAAGCCCCAGCCCAAAGCAGAAGCGATGGGACTCCCGAGTGAAATGGTGTGCTCCCTAAAAGGGATAATTAACGGTCCCCAGCCGACGCTGGATTTACCTCCTACCGGAAGAGATACTTGTATGGGCATAGTATCCCGGATCCCAACTTACACGTACGCGGTTGGAGGGGTATTGTGCTGATCCATTGGGGCATATAGTCGATTCCTACTATTTCTGGCTGGGAAACTCGGAACGCGGTATAAACAGTCTGGGCAGTCGCATATGTATGTCTTATCGAAATTACACACCTTTTTAACTAAGATAGCACTCACTCACTCACCCCCCTCTAACTTACCAAACACAGGCGCATTAGTTAACCGATTTATCTACGGGGAAGGGTGCTTGCACTCACACACACACATACCGGCCCCACCAAAAAAAAGAATGAATAGAAGAGTAGCACAGCAGACTCGTCTGATATACTGGGATATGAATTTCCAGCTTGGGATATAAGGCTCCTTGAGTACAAGTCGGAACAAAAATAAATAAATAAATAAACTATGGTAAATAAGAACTGTTCATGCTACTAAAGTCATATTATAGCAGAACCTTCCTAATAGGTAGCGGATATCCGATGTTGCTGACATTACGTAAACACCAATATTAACAGATATTTGCAAATACCCATCACACCATACAGTATTTGGATGCCCTCCCCAGGTTGAGGCGCATGAAAGGGAAAATAAAGAGATTTCACTAGATTCCACGTATTGAGACGGCTGTAGATACTAGCTCTGCCACAACCTTGGCACTGTTGGGCAAGGCAATTTCATACAACCCGGGTATATTCCCACAATCCTAACGCTTTACTCATACATTAACAAGCATGGACTAATTCCCATGCACTTTACTTCAATTACTTTACAAAACAAAGCTGGCTAAAGGGAGTGGGTAATATTTACTCGAGTAGCAAGAGCGGCTTATTCTATCGAAGATCAGTCAAATAAAGTAGTGGTGAAGGACAGGGAAAGAGGAAACAAGGCCAAGGAAATATTAGGGATCTAGTGTACTGGGCAACAGGATGCAATGGATATAGCTTGCTTCAGAAGGGAGGTATCCAAGGTATAGCCTGGTAGTCATTCGGTGCCGCTTGAGCGAGGGAGCATGGCGTCTCCTTCGCCTGAACCTTTGCCCACTATGGGCTCACGTTCTCCCCCCCCTCCTGCGATGCCTCTGCCCTGGGGTGCGTTGGACTCGCACTCCCGTATCCTCAATTGATCGCGCCCTTCTTCCCATGGCGACCAGATCATATGCTGCTTCCGGAGGTGACTATAAGTTTCTCTAATTCTACCACAACCACAGCTGTCGCAGCATCTCTGCGGTGACCGACGATGGCGTGAGGGGTACAGTATCTCTACGAGGCCCCCAAACTATGAAGGAGGTGGAGATGCTCGTCGAGGGCTATCTCAGCGGAATTGGCTGCGCTCCGGGGTGCGGAATTGTCCGTAGCTCTACGACGGGTCTCCACATTCACTACCATTCGGCTAGCGACCCCTCTGCTAAGGGATCCGGCTTGGTGTTTTCCGGCAACTCCTCGCTCTCTAGGGTCCTGGAATCGTCTTTTCCTTCGGTTGACGCTCCATTGACGGTCGATGCGTCCCATTACTTTTCGCCCTCCCCCGCCCCTGCGATCAGGTCTTGAGACCTCCCGACATCCACTGAGCTCACTGTGGCGGGGACGCCTCCTCTGCCCCTGAGCCTGTTGGAAATCACCGAAAACCGCTGCCGATACTGCTCGCCCGCATATAGATTCCGGCCATGTACTTTGGAATAGCGCGTCGGTCGGAAATAGGAGTGTTGGAAGCGGATGCTGCTCCACATGCTCGCCATACTGTGTTGTCTCTGCTGTCGGCTCATCTTTGTCGTTTGCCCTTTGACCGATCACATAAAGGGCTCACCCACCACCGTCAGTCCCCCGCCGTTTCGCAGCCGTGGGAGTGAATAGAAGCATCACGACCGCCAGGGTCAAAGAGAGTTCCACTACGCTGAACAGTGGGCGTGGGGCAGTGAGAGCTGAGTAGAGGCCGTGAGCCATGGTCGTCTTCGTGGAGCCTATCGTTTGTTCTTTCTTTTGTAATTCTTTTGTAAGCTTGAGCACCCGCAGCGGAAGGGGGTCACACAGTATCGTGCATGGAAGAAGAACGAGATGTCCGGTGGCAGAAGGCTATGAGGACTCCTCTTTTTTTCTCTTTTTCAACTCATATATTCATTGGCTATGAGGACGCCATGGTCATGCTTTATTTGT